AATATGTATAGTGAGAAACCACCAGTACAAGTTAGTTACAGTAATTATTATTTATTACCTTAATAAGTCTAGCAACATAACATGTAAAAATCCAAGTGGCAGAATAAGACACAAGATGATACTGCTTATATAAAGTTTCAAAACCTACCAAAAAGGAGCAGGGATTTGCATCCTATTTTGTGTTTTTAGGAATACTAAACCAAGGGAAAGGACTTGACAACACCATATTTGATTTCTACTAAATTTTGGACAACAAAGGAAAGAAATTGATTCATCTTCTCTCTCAGTATGTCAGTATTTGCTAAGCATCTTAATACAGAGAATCATTAAAAGGATACATGGTTTAAGGACTTCAACCCTGTCATTCCAACTACTGACAATGGCACATCAAATGAATACTGGTCAGTGCTGCGAATGAATGTATTTCTTGTGTAGAAATTGTGTGTTTGGATCTTCTAAGGACTCCAGGAGAGGTTTGTATGATTATGCATTTAAAGTTACTTGCACTGCTCAGTATCAAGGGAAAACTATAGTAGATTCTCACATTACATCCTCTTATTTGATTACTCACCTTTCTGTAAACTCCACTCACAAATGAACATGATATTCTAAATACTCATTTCTTGTACGCCGCTGTCTGTCCCTTCTGAGTTGTATGTATATAAAGAGCCAGATATTTTGTCCCAAGTAATTATATAGTTTAATTAAATATTGTATAAATCAATGAAATATAAACTGTATATTTTGAAAAAGATTAGTAAGGAATAAAATGAAACCTGCAATGTAATCCTGTATCTTTATGGATACAAACAGGTATAAAAACATAAATGAGAATGAAAAATAATTCAGGATCATTGTTACCTTTCAGATAGGAGAGAAATGGAATGAAGAGTTTCAATCAAATCTTTAATGTTTTATGTCTCTTGTTAAAAAAATAATGCACAAAAACAAATGTGTTAAGATGTGGCTAAGGGTTGATAAATAGAGGTTTTAGATACACATTTTTCCCATTTCTGTCTTCCTTTTGTCTGTCACGACTAAGCATTTCCAGAGTTCATCAGAATACATTCAGAAGTTAATTCTTAAAGTGACTTAATATGAGGGCTTCATTAAGCCAGTGTAGAATCATAAAAGGACTGACTGGCACCAACCCTGAATTGTGCAGTGAGGTACTCTTGTATTATAGTGTCCAGAACTGGATAAGAAATACCCAACAATTTAAACAGTGACTGTTTGTATTCTAATATTATTTAAGACTATTAATATTTATGGACTCAATCTTCCCTGGCACTTTTTCGCCTGGAATCTGGTTTCCCTCTGAGCTTGGGCCTGGAGAGCAAACATATCTAACCAGACAGGCCTTAGACTGGCCTCTCATACTGATATCTTAACCTTCCCTTGACCAACTCATCTGAGAGGATTTGTATCCATCTATTTGGATTTGAATCTAGTCTGCTGGTTGGTAAGCCCCATGAAGTTTATCCTCCATATCCTGTCCCATGCTGGGTTTCCTTTGAATGCTCTGTGAAAAAATGAACGGCATTGCTTAACCTAGTACCTTCAGAGCTGTTTTTTTCCTAGATAAGGAAGTCAACACATTTTTAAACATCTCATGAAATTACATGGCAAAATATCACTCGTTTCTTTAGGATAAAATCATAAGAATTATGAAATGTAAAGTAAATATTGTTGACAGATTTGAAGAGGAATAAAGATATCATTTGACAACAGTATTCCTTACCACCACCATCACCCTCAGACCTTCAGTATGGATTGAGTCTCATGTGTTGTAAAATAAAAGGTCATGAAGCTGGCATATGGACCACTTTGAGAAATCCTCTTAGGAAAGCTTTTTTTTAAAACCAAAGAAGTGATTAGAATCATGAGATTCTCCACATGAGTTTTCTCCACAGGTGGTTATTTTCTTTGTTGACTGAAACTACTATCACAGAATATAGTGAATCTGAATCCCTGAGCAGTATTATTGTATCTTTCTCTAGATGATTATAGTTTTATTTGGTGGAGTATCTTAATTTTTGTATCGTACAGAAATGACATAAAATAATGGAAAACTTTATTTCCTTCTCTTCTACGCATCTTGCTATGTGACCTTGGGAAAATCCATTTGCTTTATGAGATCTCTCATATGTACAGAGAGAACACACAGTATTCTTCTTCCACCCAACTTTCTAGCCCAGTCAGGCTGTAGAGCTCCATTTTTTGCAATTCCTATTTAAAAAGCCCTCATGGAATTTAGACAGAACAAGGTGCTACTGCCCTCTGCTGGTCCTCAGAACATACCTGCCCATCAGTGCAATGGTCTTGCCCATTCAAACATCAAAGTGCTCCTTGCTTTTGCTTGAGAAGGCATAGCGGGAAACCACAAAGAAAAGAAGCAGATTTCCTGTTTAGAAAAATTATGTTTTAAGTATTTGGGAATTAATAATTTATTATACATTTATCAGATGCGAGCACCATTTGTGACTGACTTGCTACCAAAAAGTGCATATCCTATAATCCCTTCACCTTACTGTCATTCTCATCCAGTAAACAAGCTGTGGGTTCTGACACTTTGGGCTACTGTTTCACACCATTCTTCTGCCTTGGAACATATGCAGTCCACTTTTGTTGAAAACAGAGAAGTTTTTACATAGTCACTTTTAGTTTTTTAATAAATAGGAAAATAATAACTGATATGTGCCAAGTAAAGTGAATGTGCAGCATCAGAGAAGAAAATTATAAAAGAAGGCAGGACTTCACTATACTCTCAAATTCCTATAGAGCTCTGTCAAGTTGTAATAAGAGATTTATTACAATAACTTTTTTATTGTATTGATGATCCTAAAAGAATTTTATGTAAGAAACTGATAAGGATTTATTAAAAGCTCAATTTTTCTGAGCTCATCTATGTTAATATAATTTCAGAACTTCAGAATGTTAGAATCTGTTGTTATATTGTGTTTGTAAGAAATGGTGCTGCCTGACTATACTCATGGGAAAGGCACGCTTGTACCTTGTTTAAATTTTATGCCTTTAAAATCTCTTTCATAATAGGTCTGTGTACTGCCACTGAGGTCACTGTTATTCCTTAGAGTGTTTGGGGCAAAAAAAAAAAAAGAAGTGCAACCTACATCCCAAGTATCCTCAAACAGAGTGCAGAAGGAGCGTATGACTCAGTGTCTGTCGCTTCTGTTTACATATTCACAGAACCACACACGGTCTATCCCCGATTTCCCATAGGTAGAGAGTAGCTGCGTTTTAAAAGCAAACGTCATGCAACTTCCCCCTAAGGATTTCCTGACCTTTGCTTCGTGGTCAGTTCTAGCTTATGGCTGCCTAAGAGTTAATGGATGATTAACCCAACAACAGTACATAGGCCTGCCCTGAAAGGGACTTACACAAGAGATGCAGAAGTACACAGACCCTAATAGGCAAAAATCACAGCCACCCCACTTCCCTATTATTTAAGTACTACACTACATTTCATGGTATGCATGGTATCTATTCCAGTTGAAGATTTAGTCTGCTCTAGACCAAGAAGGAAGTTTATGTCTATTGAGCATATAATTTTTTACCAGGTACCTTATACACTTGTTATGCATCCCTAAGAAAAGGACGAACTCTTTGCTACATAACTGTTATGTATGCAACTTTAATAGTGATCTGCAGTGTCCAACATTTCAGCAGAAAAGAATTCACTTATTAATTGCTTCAAAAGAAAACTTACATTATCAGAAACTTTAGTTTTACTGATAGAAAAAAAATTAACTCAATTCTAAAGAATAAAATGGACTGAAAAGTTGTCTAATGAGACCATTATCAAGTATTTGCTGAAAAATAATGGATTTAAATTTTTTGAGACATTCTTAACTTTCAGAAATGAAAGCAACAGCTGTGGAAAGGTGAGTCAGATCATATCAGAGGTTTCAGGGCAGAATATTACTCTGGGAAATAAAATCCTAAAATGAAAGATTAAAATAACAGACAGTTGTACTAACTGTTATTCAATTTATATATGATTTGCTTTCAGTTTTTTTTTTTTTTCAAGATAATTTGCTGTAGTAAAAAGGGTTGGAAAGTAAAAAGGATTTGGAAACAAACTTTGGGCTTGAAACCTAGTTCCACCGCTTATGTAATTGCTGTATGGCCTTGGGCAATCACTCAGTTAAGCCTTTTTGAACCTCTGTGTCCTCTTCTTTAATTTGGCGATAACGATATGCATCTTACAAGATTTTTAGTATTAAGTGACATGTATATTTATGAAGTGCCTCAAGTGACTGCAGAGTTAGTTTTCTTTCCCTCAGTTGTTAATCACAGAGTAAGGTTTACTCTTACTGAGAAGCCCAGCAGGACGTCCTGGAAAGGAAGGTTTGGTTTTAGATGACCTTCCCACACCCAGACTTGGCTACCAGAAAATGCCCTGGAAGCCCTAGACAGCCTGCTGGCGAGTGCGTGAGCCAGGCAGCCGCCTTGGTAAGGAGGTAGAGGGCTAGAGTGAGCAGGAGGGAAACTCATGATGCGCCCTCATTCTGTGTGTCAGGCCAAGCTGTAGGCTCACTTGCATTTCAGTGAGTGCCCTCCTAACCCCACCAAAATGTACTCTGATACCAAGTAGAAAAAATTTTGAACTCTCTGGAATTTTAGATTCAGGTTGTGATGGATTTTATTATATGTCCTAATGGTAATAACTACCTAACTCTACATTTCCTGCTATATGCATAGTACAGTGTTTAGGTACTTTTCATACATTTTCTAATTCGTATAATACTTTTAATTTTAAAATGTCCCTTTTAAGAGATAAGATCCTTTAAAGGATTTGATAGCAAGCCCAAAGTTGCCAGTTAAAATGTGTACGTTGCTGATTGCTAAGCTTGTTTTGCCATAAGATGTGTTTAGATAAATCCTTTGATCACATTCATGATTATCTGTGGCCTCTGTAACCTTCTGAACTGTCATGACCCTGTCAGCTCCATGGTAATATATATTATGTGTTCTCACAGAAACTGGCCCCTGGAGTCAGCCAGTTTGCTTACACCTGTGTACAGGATCACCCCATTTGGACGAATCAGCAGTTTTGGGAGACAACCTTTTATAATGCGGTGCAGGAACAGGTTCGCTCCCTGTATCTCTCGGCCAAGGAGGACAATCATGCCCTGCCTCTGAAGCAAAAGGTAAGATAAAAACATGTATCTGTGTGGGGCTAGGGTCCTGGCTTCAAGGGAAGTTCAGTCAGGTATTATCTAGCCACTTCCTACCAGTGTATTTGGGGTTTACTTTAGGAAGCCCCCTGGTGAGCATCTTTCTTCTATTTATTCCTGATATTTTTTCCCCCATGATAACTTCCTACTACTCATCTCACATGCTAGTAATGCTCAAAATTCTCCAAGCCAGGCTTCAGCAATACGTGAACTAAGAACTTCCAGATGTTCAAGCTGGTTTTAGAAAAGGCAGAAGAACCAGAGATCAGATTGCCAATATCCGCTGGATCATCGAAAAAGCAAGAGAGTTCCAGAAAAACAGCTACTTCTGCTTTATTGACTACGCCAAAGCCTTTGACTGTGTGGATCACAATAAACTGTGGAAAATTCTGAAAGAGATGGGAATACCAGACCACCTGACCTGCCTCTTGAGAAACCTGTATGCAGGTCAGGAAGCAACAGTTAGAACTGCACATGGAACAACAGACTGGTTCCAAATAGGAAAAGGAGTACGTCAAGGCTGTATATTGTCACCCTCCTTATTTAACTTCTATGCAAAGTACATCATGAGAAACTCTGGGCTGGAAGAAGCACAAGCTGGAATCAAGATTGCCGGAAGAAATGTCAATAACCTCAGATATGCAGATGACACCACCCTTATGGCAGAGAGTGAAGAGGAACTAAAAAGCCTCTTGATGAAAGAGGAGAGTGAAAAAGTTGACTTAAAGCTTAACAGTCAGAAAACTAAGATCATGGCATCTGGTCCCATCACCTCATGGGAAATAGATGGGGAGACAGTGGAAACAGTGTCAGACATTTTTTGAGCTCCAAAATCCCTGCGGATGGTGACTGCAGCCATGAAATTAAAAGACGCTTACTCCTTGGAAGGAAAGTAATGACAGCATATTAAAAAGCAGAGACGTTACTTTGCCAACAAAGGTCCGTCTGGTCAAGTCTATGGTTTTTCCAGTGGTCATGTATGGATGTGAGAGTTGGACTGTGAAGAAAGCTGAGTGCCAAAAAATTGATGCTTTTGAACTGTGGTGTTGGAGAAGACTCTTGCGAGTCCCTTGGACTGCAAGGAGATCCACCCAGTCCATCCTAAAGGAGATCAGTCCTGGGTGTTCATTGGAAGGACTGATGCTGAAGCTGAAACTCCAGTACTATGGCCACCTCATGTGAAGAGTTGACTCATTGGAAAAGACCCTGATGCTGGGAGGGATTGGGGGCAGGAGGAGAAGGGGGCGAAAGAGGATGAGATGGCTGGATGGCATTACCAATTCGATGGGCATGAGTTTGAGTAAACTCCGGGAGTTGATGATGGACAGGGAGGCCTGGTGTGCTGCGATTCATGGGGTCGCAAAGAGTCAGACACGACTGGGCGACTGAACTGAACTGAACAGTTCTGTAGCACTAGAATTATTTAATTATATTTTAATAAGAATTCCCTGGAAACAATTATAGGAAGTTGAAATGAGTCAACCTAAAATACCTAGGCAAATGTCTGTGCAATTAACTTATTGAAGAAATGTCAAATTAAAGTTGCGTGCTGTGTCACTTCAGTTGTGTCCGACTCTCTGCCACCCTATGGACTATAGCCCACCAGCCTCCTCTGTCCAGGGGATTTTCCAGGCAAGAATACTGGAGTGGGTTGCCATGCCCTCCTCCAGGGATCTTCCCAACCCAGGGGTCAAACCTACATCTCTTATGTCTCCTGCATTGGCTGCTGCTGCTAAGTCGCATCAGTTGTGTCCAACTCTGTGCAACCCCATAGATGGCAGCCCACCAGACTCCCCCATCCCTGGGATTCTCCAGGCAGCAACTCTGGAGTGGGCTGCCATTTCCTTCTCCAGTGCATGACAGTGAAAAGTGAAAGTGAAGTCGCTCAGTTGTGTCCGACTCCGTGCGACCCCATGGACTGTAGCCCACTATGCTCCTCCGTCCATGGGATTTCCCAGGCAAGAGTACCGGGGTGGGGTGCCATTGCCTTCTCCGCCTGCATTGGCAGGCGGGTTCTTTACCACTAGTGCTGCCTGGGAAGCCCAAATTAAAGTTACTTGAAATTTTGAAATGTCATACACTAGCTGTCTGATCTTAGGCAATTCACTTTAGTTTTCTGTGTCTTATTTCTTCATTAGTAAAATGAGCAGACATGATTATTATAAGCTTTTAATGCCTAATACAAGTGTAGGGCATTGAAGAGTTCCTGGCATGTACTAAATCATAAATGTTAGAAATTACTATCCTTATTAATTGAACTTAGAGCAGCACTAAGAGCTGATTATTAGTGTTGATTCACTTTAAGAGCAATTTTTTGGAGTAATTTGTTGGGGTTTTTTTTTTTTTTAGCTTTTTTTATTGAGTAATTTTTCCACATGCTAGGCTAATACATCGCTGCTGATCCTTTCCTCCATTTTAAATTTTCCTTATACTATGTGAGATAAACGAACCTAGATAGCTAACTGAAACTGCCTGATATTCATACATTTCTATGCCTCAAGTAATTTTAACCATATTATTGGTCTACTCATGAATATGATAAGAACAAACTTTTAATAACACTATCTGACATCTGTCAGATATTCCAAATTATTACTATACAATTAGTTTTCATTATTTTCTTAATTTAAAACTCAGATTTTTCTTTCAAAACACCAGATGCACTTGGGTAAAGGGGTAACTTGGGCTACATCCAAAGAGTATTAGCTTGAGGTCATGTTCTAGAGATGATTGGCCTGGTGAGGTGCTTTTGATAATCTTTAAAGAAAATATAGTGCTAACATGGGTATGAGGGGACCCAGGTGGCGCTAGTGATAAAGAACCTGCCTGCCAGTGCAGGGGGTGTAAGAGACACAGGTTCAATCCCTGGGTCAGGAAGATCCCCCGGAGAAGGAAATGGCAACCCACTCCAATATTATTGCCTGGAGAATCCCATGGATGGAGGAGCCTACTGGGCTACAGCTCACGGGATAGCAGAGAGTCTGACGTGACTGAGTGGCTTAGCACAACATTGGTATATCTCCAAAACATTCATAAAGCAAATACATGTCACTGCTCCAGTGTCCTCCGTTCTGTAAAAGGGTGTCTCGGAGCCCCAGGTCAGATATGAGTAAGACTATAGATATACCAGCTGTTCACAAGCGGTAAAGTACTATGCAGGTGTGGGTTACTGCTGTTGTTTAACTCTTCAGCCTATAGAAAATCCCTCTTAAAAATCCCATGGACACCTGTATACCCATTTAATGATAACGTTTGACTCCCACATTTACACGGAAATCTAGCTCTACTTTTTTGTGACTTTGGTCATTCTGTCTTTTTCAACCAAAGAGCAGAAGAAAAGAAACATAGCAGAGTATTAGAAAATGCTACTGGCACGTTTGACTAGAGGATTTACAGGTATTTCAGGTCAATAATTTGTTGTAACTGGTGACTTGAAGGTGACAGAGCCAGAGATAAGTATCAGTAAATGCAGTGAAATGTTAGCAGTGAGAAGTGTGTATCTCAGTGCTTTGCTGCTGTCTCCTTGGATTGGTCATATGGTTCCATTCAAGGTCTGTTGGAGCTCAGAAAAAAGGAAGACTAAGTTTCGTGTTCTTGTTATTTTTTTTTTATATATTTCCACTTTTACTGACATAGGTATTTAATAGATGAATTATTAAAACATCTTCCATGTTTTTTGAAGCTCATGTGAAGTGATAGATTTTTATTTTGTTTTGTTTTGGTTTGGTTTGGTTTGGTTTGGTTTTTAGGATAAACTTCCTGATGACCAATATCAAGAGAAGACAGCAATGGACCTGGCAGCTGAGCAGCTACGCCTTTGGCCTACTCTGAGCAAATCAACTCAGCAGGAGCTGGTGCAGCGTGAGGAAAGCACTGTCTTTAGTCAAGCCATTCACTTTGCAAACCTCATGGTCAATCTGCTGGTTCCGCTGGATTCAAGTAAAAACAAGCTCCTAAGAGCGTCAGCCCCAGGAGACTGGGAGAGTGGAAGCAACAGCATTGTCACTAACAGGTACTGAAATGTGGACACACACAGACTCCTATTCTTCTTGGTTTAGCACAGAATACGAAGTATTTTGGGTAAATAGTGCTATACGTATTTCAAAAATTAACCGTTTTTTTCACCTTCAGACTTGCTCAGCTTTTCTCTATTAAAAGACTTTGACTACATCCAACTATTCTTAATTACCTCCCATACCCTCTTCTCTTTTATGACCTCTGACTTTTTAAACGTCTCACCCATTACTGATCTAGCCTTTTCAGTTACTTTCTGCCACAGCAACTTACAGAAAGCACTGTGGAAAAGTACTAATGGACTCTTTCTTATTAAAGTGGTTATTTGTTTCTTGGTCCTCCTCTTCTTCATCTTACCCACTGCATTTGCCTATAATCATGTTCTCAACCATTCTGTGTTCTCACACTTTCCCTAGTGGCTCAGATGGTAAAGAAACTGCCTACAGTGCAGGAGACCCAGGTTAGATCCCTGGGTCACAAAGATCCCCTGGAGAAGAGAATGGCTTCCCACTCAGTATCCTTGCTTGGGAAATCCCACGGACAGAGGAGTTTGGCAGGCTTCAGTTTATGGGGTCACAGAGTCGGACACGACTGAGCGACTAACACTATCTCAACCCTAAATACTTCCTGTACCACTGAAAATGAAACCCATAGACCATAAGGCCTAACAGGGTCTCGGCCCTGGCTGCTGCTCAGACTTTATTTCCTACACTCTTCTATCAACCAAACTGGTCTCCCTGTTCAACATTCAAAGCATGATTACTGCCTCAGGGCCTCTGTACTTGTTATTCCCACAATCTGGGATACTCTTCCTGAAATAGTTACAAGAATCCCTTCATTTAGTTTTCTGCTCTGATGTCACCTACCCAGAGAGACCTTGCTGACTTCCTGTCTTAAGTAGCACATCCGTCATTTTCTTATACCTTTTTTTCTTTCATGACATTTTCTACAATCTGATTTACATAGTGAGTGACTAAGGCACCTAAGTTGGGTCCAAAGGATAATGCCTGACAGTAGCTTCCCAAGTGTACACGAAACATCGTGTTTCACTACAATCACTTATAGAGGAGTCATGGAGTTAAGTGAGGGTTCTACTTGAGTACACATCCCTTTGAGCAAGTTTAAACTGCTGTGGAAAGTCACCGTGATATACTAGTCATTTGTTAAATTTGAGTACTGAGCATGATTTCTTCCCTTGACTTTCTTAGTATTGCAGGAAGTGTAGCTGAGAGCTATGATACAGAAAGTGGGTTTGAAGATTCAGAGAATAATGACATTGCCAATTCTGTTGTGCGTTTCATTACTCGATTTATTGACAAAGTTTGTACGGAGAGTGGAGTTACTCAGGATCATATCAAGAGCCTGCATTGCATGATACCAGGTAATCACTTTGCAGACATCAGAGAACCAGAATGTTAGAAATAATTGAATAAGGATTATTCTTATGGGTCATTTTCCAGCATAGCACTTGGCTTCCAGGTAGCTTAGTCATGCTATTTGTTTTCCAAATAGTTTTAAATTGTATAAAATATATGTCATAAAATTTGCCATTTTAAACTTTCTTAAGTGTAAAATTCAGTGACATAAATTATATTCACAATGCTGTACAATCGCTACCAATGGTCTATTACCAAAGCCTTTTCATCACCCCATACAGACACTCTGTACCCATTAAGCAGGAGCTTTCCATTCTCCACTCTGGCCCTTGGTTGCCTCTTAATTCCTTTTATCTCTATGAGTTTGCCTATTCTAGATAATGCATATAAGTAAAATCCTATAATAGTTGTCTTTTTGTGTCTGACTTATTTCCTTTAGCATAATGTTTTCAAGGTTTATCCACGTTTGTAGCAGGTATTGTGACTTCATTCCTTTTATGACTGAATAATACTCTATTATATGGATATACCATATTTTCTTTATCCACTCATCTGTTGATAGACACTTAAATTGTTGTGACCTTCTGGCTCTTGTAAATAGTACTACTATGAATATTCATACACAAGTGTCTGAGTTTTATTTTCAGTCTTTGGGGTATATGCCTAGGAGTGGAATTGCTGGGTCGTATGATAATTCTGTGTTTAGCTTTTTGAAGAACCACCAAACTCAGATTAGTTTTCAATTCTTAAATATCAAGAATTTGTTTTAATTCTACTTGTTTGGTACTCTTTTATTTTTAATTCTCTGACTCATCCCAGGAATTGTAGCTATGCACATTGAAACCCTAGAAGCAGTGCATCGAGAGAGTAGAAGACTTCCACCTATTCAGAAGGTAATTATTCCGGACTGCATGCTTTGAGGGAGTAAGTAAAATCTCCTAAAAACAGCAACAGTAGATTGTTGTGCCACAGAAAGTACCTTCTAACATTCTACAGAGACCAGCTCTAGTTTTAATGATACATTAAACTTTGAGAGGAGTTTACATGTAGATCCTCATAAAAAGGATGGTGAAGTAGAATAGGAGATCAACAAAGGAGCAATAATAATCTCTTGTTGAGTCTACTTTTATAGGCAGGGCATAAATTGTGAACATTCTAACTTCCAAGACCAAGCCAAGGTTTTATGTTCTGCCTCCTTCCCCCAAAAAATGACTTAAGGCAATTACCATAAAATCACCAGGTTCCTAAATCTGTATGCATTACAAGCATACATCACAAACATCTGGGAAGTCTATTAAAAACTGAGAGGCCTAAATCTCAGCCCAGCCTCCTGAATTGGAGTACCCTGGGACTTGGCCTGGGAATTTGTAGTTTAATAAGCATCCCAGGTGATTATTTTGCAGTTAGTCTGGCACCAGTCTGTGGAACTAGGGTTTAGGACCCCCTTACCTATGTAACAGAACTATTAAAAATAAATTCAAAGGAGAAATCAGAAGCCAGATGGAAAGGAAAGATGATTCTATCAGAAATCTGAGACACAAAGATCATTATACTTTGGCTTTACATTTTAGCTCTGAGCTTCCTCGAGCCAACAAAAAGAATTGTCCAGATTGTATAGTTTTTATTGCTCAGTAAAAGAAAATAAGTGTCTTAGAGCTTCAGGAGAGATGGGCTTTTTTTTTCTAGCACTAAACTCTTCAAGAAAGTATATCATGTGGTTCCTTATTTCCCAATATATGTAAATGGTCATAACTTGGCCATTTTTTTGGTCTTAATCTTTATTAAAGGCTAAGAAGGGCTCTTTAAAGTCATGTCCATTTTTTAAAATACGTGTGTTTTCAGTTTGCAAGCTAACGATGCTTTTGTATAAAATTGAAGCATTAAAGGAACACGCATTGTACAAAATGAAAGTCTCCCATGATTCTCCTCACCCTGACCTCTACCCTTATCTATGATAGTACCAGCTTTAACAGTTTGGTTCATATACTAAAAGGAAATCATAAATGTACATATTGGTTGGTAACTCTTTCTACTTAACAATGTATTCTGGCATCTTTCTATGTTTATGTATCTAGATCTGTGCCGTTCTTTTTGACGGTTGCAAAATGTTCCGTTGAATAGGTATCTCAAATAGTTTAGTAATTTCCAGTGATTTTAATGTGAGTAAGTAATGCTGCAGAGAGTCTTTTTACATTTGGATGCAGAAACATAATTTCTGACTCTTCCCAAATCTGTTCACTCATTTTGGCCAAGTGGGAAGTCTGGTTCACATTTTTAGGTCTGTAACTGACAAGGTAACCTTGGTCTAAGGGTTGGAAATTTCTCTAGAGTTGTGTCTAAAATAACTTTGTCTGTTGTTAGCCCAAGATTCTTAGACCTGCTCTACTGCCAGGAGAAGAAATTGTTTGTGAAGGCCTTCGAGTCCTACTGGATCCTGATGGGAGAGAAGAAGCCGCTGGAGGCCTTCTTGGAGGCCCTCAGCTCCTGCCAGCAGAAGGAGCGTTGTTCCTTACCACATACAGAATTCTGTTCAGAGGGACTCCCCATGATCAACTAGGTAAGGCTCATATTATGTCATCAGAACAGGGATATCTGTGTGAGGCTTTGCTTCCATCTGTGTGCAGTGATTTGCAGGCCAGTTCAAAATCAAAGTAAGCCTTTTGCCACACACGTATTTTTTTTTTTTAGAATACTGTCTGTCAAACCTAATGATAATTTGGATTCTTATTTAAAGAATCAAGGATATCTTCTACACAGCAAACCATGGTTCATCCACAGAAACTATAATAATTTCATGAAGTAGCATTTTATGATTTCAGGGTATTCAAAGTATCTAGCTGCTAGCAGCATCCCCTGCTGATTTACCCCACCTTCTGAATGCTGCAGTAAACTGTGAAGGCTGAGGTTTTCCAGATTCAGGATCCCGTTTGTGAGAGGGAAGGTGTGCTAAGTATTACAGGACTGTGCAGCACCAACTTAACTGACCCCACCCACTTCTCTCATTCCATTTCAACTGATCCTTTCCTCTCTCATCAGAACTCTCTTCTGCTCACTAAACTCTATCAACTTCCGTTTTCTACAACTGTCCACAGTCTTCTGCATTAGAAAGAATAGCATATACTATCAAATCTGAATTATCTTTTTTAAATCACTGTAGTCTCTATGTAAACTATTCTAGTTGATAAGCATATAAGGTTTTGGGTGAAATTATTGGACTCTAGATCAAAAAGCTCAGGTTTCAATCACTGTTAACCAATCTGGATATCTTAAGTAAGTCCCCTGATCTCTCTAAGTTTCAATTTCCCCTTTTATAAAATGAGGGGATCAGACTCGTTTGGTGATAATCCGGTGGTTCTCAGCCTTGACTGTGTATTTGAATTATATGAGAAGCTTTAAAAAAAAATTCTGGGTCTAACTCTCAAACAACTAAATTGGAATCTGTAATAGGATGCTAGGAAGGGGGAGACCCAGACATCTGTATAGTTTTGATACATACTGAGGATTGAGAAACATGGGGATACATGGTCACTAGAATTCCTTCCTCATCTGAAATTATTCAGTTGTCATTTGATGAGTATGTACTATATGCTCTGCACTTTGTCAGACAGTGGGATTCAAATGTATGAACTCTGTTATCTTCAAACTCTCACAGTTGTATAATCCCGTGCTTACCTAGAATCAATATGGTTTATTATCTTGGTCATAAAGATTGCTTACCACATGAAAAGCAAAAAGCTTATAAAATTCAATAAACAATGAATCAGCAGGAATAGTTGTGTTCATTTTGAAGAAAAGTGGAAAACAGCAGAATTTCTCAACCCTCTTCTGTCATATTACTGTAAATAAATTACATTTGTATTTGTAAGCAAGTATACTTTTAAAACTAGATATCTGGTACTTACCATTTTTTGTACTGAAACCTTTGTGAGCTCAATGGCCATACACATAACATTTTGGGCTTATCAATATATGAGATAGTTGGTCATTTAAACTGCTCTAAATTATGTCTTTTAAAGAAATCAAAACCATATTTAGTGTGAAAGTTTGTATTGGTCTCTTGTTTTTTTCCTGATAATTTTGGGGTTAATTTCACAGTTTAGGAAAATTATTTTCATCAGAGAAAACCTTTTTATTTGCCTCTTTTATTTCTAAGTTAATTTAAATTTTAAAATTCCTCCTTTAATGACACATAGGAATCTGATCATTTTACATGAGTGATATAAACATAAGTTGTTTAATACATTTTAGAACTTAAATCTTATGTACATCTTGATTTTATTTAATCTCTGGGTATAAGTTTAACATAAGAGAATAATCAGAATTTTCCAGGTTAGGAATTTAAAGGTTCAAGGAATGAGGAATTCTGATAAGAATAAGTATATTAGTTAATAAAGGGGCTCTTAAGTCAGATACACCTAGTTCACGTCTCACCCTCTCTGGCTGACTAGCAGAGAGGCCTTGCTCATCACTGTCCTGGTCTGTTACTTGTACTGCTACCTGAAATGCCCACCCTTTTCCCCTCTGCAGATCCAAACCTCCATTCTCCTCAAAGTTCACCTACCCTGTCACTTCTTCTGGGGATTAATTCTCTAGCCATCTAGCATGCAGAAGTCTTCTCCCTTCTGAAGTCTTTAAAGCCATGTTCCCTCAAACCTGCGAGCTAATTGCATGTTGTTGTATTCTACATGTGACTTTCCTCTCCCATGAGGAACTGTGAGCTTTCCAGGGGGGGCCTCATGTGTGCTGCTTCTTTTTCAGATGCTCATCTTCATATCCTCAGGTAGCTGATAAATATTTATATTTTTCCTTTCTTCCTTTAATATTTAAACTCTCGAGAATCTTGGGGCCTCCCTGGTGGTTTGGTTGGTAAAGAATCTCCCTATGATACAGGAGACTTGGTTCGATCCCTGGGTTGGGAAGATCCCCTGGAGAAGGGAACAGCTACCCACTCCAGTATTCTGGCCTGGAGAATTCCATGGATTATATATAGTTCAGTTCAGTCGCTCAGTCGTGTCCGACTCTTTGCAACCCCACAAACCACAGCACACCAGAGTTCCCTGTCCATCACCAACTCCTGGAGTTTACCCAAACTCATGTCCATTGAGTCGGTGATGCCATCCAGCCATCTCATCCTCTGTCATCCCCTTCTCCTCCTGCCCTCAATCTTTCTCAGCATCAGGGTCTTTTCCAGTGAGTCAGCTCTTCACATCTGGTGGCCAAGGTATTGGAGTTTCAGCTTCAACACCAGTCCTTCCAATGAACACCCCGGACTGATCTCCTTTAGGATGGACTGGTTGGATCTCCTTGCAGTCCAAGGGACTTGCAAGAATCTTCTCCAACATCACAGTTCAAAAGCATCAATTCTTCAGTGCTCAGCTTTATTTATAGTCCAACTCTTACATCCATACATGACTACTGGAAAAACCGTAGCCTTGATGAGATGGACCTTTGTTGACAAAGTAATGTCTCTGCTTTTTAATACGCTCTCTAGGTTGGTCATAACCTTCCTTCCAAGGAAGTCTTTTAATTTCATGGCTGCAATCACCATCTGCAGTGATTTTGGAGCCCCCAAAAATAAAGTCAGCCAGTGTTTCCACTGTTTCCCCATCTATTTGCCATGAAATGATGGGACCATATACCATGATCTTAGTTTTCTGAATGTTGAGCTTTAAGCCAACTTTTTCACTCTCCTCTTTCACTTTCATCAAGAGGCTCTCTAGTTCTTCTTCACTTTCTGCCATAAGGGTGGTGTCATCTGCATATCTGGGGTTATTGACATTTCTCCCAGCAATCTTGATTCTAGCTTGTGCTTCCTCCAGCCCAGCGTTTCTCATGATGTACTCTGCATAGAAGTTAAATAAGCAGGGTGACAATATACAGCCTTGACATACTCCTTTTCCTATTTGGAACCAGTCTTTTGTTCCGTGTCCAGTTCTAACTATTGCTTCCTGACCTGCATACAGGTTTCTCAAGAGGCAGGTCAGGTGGTCTGGTATTCCCATCTCTTTCAGAATTTTCCACAGTTTGTGGTGATCCATACAGTCAAAGGCTTTGGCATAGTCAATAAAGCAGAAATAGATGTTTTTCTGGAACTCTCTTGCTTTTTCAGTGATCCAACGGATGTTGGCAATTTGATCTCTGGTTCCTCTGCCTTTTCTAAAACCAGCTTGAACATCTGGAAGTTCACAGTTCATGTATTGCTGAAGCCTGGGTTGGAAAATTTTGAGCATTACTTTACTAGCATGTGAGTTGAGTGCAATTGTGCAGTAGTTTGAGCATTCTTTGGCATTTGCCCTTCTTTGGGATTGGAATGAAAACCAACCTTTTCCAGTCCTGTGGCCACTGCTGAGTTTTCCAAATTTTCTGGTATATTGAGTGCAGCCCTTTCACAGCATCATCTTTTAGGATTTGAAATAGCTCAACTGCAATTCCATCACCTCCACTAGCTTTGTTCGTAGTGATGCTTCCTAAGGCCCACTTGACTTCACATTCCAGAATGTCTGGCTCTAGGTGAGTGATCACACCATCGTGATTATCTGGGTTGTGAAGATCTTTTTTGTACATTCTTTTGTGTATTCTTTTTTATCTCTTTTGTGTATTCTTGCCACCTCTTCTTAATATCTTCTGCTTCCGTTAGGTCCATGCCATTTCTGTCCTTTATAGAGCCCATCTTTGCATGAAATGTTCCCTTAGTATCTCTAATTTTCTTGAAGAGATCTCTAGTCTTTCCCATTCTATTGTATAGTTCATGGGGTTGCACAGGGTCGGACATGACTGAGTGACTTTCAGTTCAGTTCAGTTTAAGAATCTTGGGCCTAACCCCAGTATATCTTCTGAAGGCACATACACATATTATAGTGCCTTTATTCAGAAACAAATTTTAACTGTCTTATCTTAACAGACTTTTCTCTTTTGCTTTATTCTTATATTAAATATAATAAATGTCTTTTCAATATTTGAAGATCCTTCTTTTCTTCTGTTTAATATCTACCCTTCCTGTAAGATGCCTTAAACCAGATGATCTTGTGTGACACACAATAGGTTGGGGAACTAGAATGAAGGTTGGCAGTTTGGGACCATTCCTGCACTCCAGGAAAGAAATGTATGTCAGAAATGAATTGCCATGCAACACAATTAATGAATGCAATTCTAGAATCATGGCACTTTGTATTGCTTCTTTCCTAGACATTGTCCTCTCCAGACACATTTCTCCAGCAGAGGCTGGTAAAATGAGCAGCAGAGAATCTACACATGAGCTGTAAAGTGCTGTTGCTTAGTCTGTACCCTGTTTTCCTATAGTTGGTGAGCAGACAGTTGTACGAAGTTTCCCCATTGCCTCCATCACCAAGGAGAAGAAGATCACAATGCAGAATCAACTACAACAGAACATGCAAGAAGGACTGCAGATCACATCGGCGTCTTTCCAGGTATTAAGAAAGGGAGCCACCATTGTGCTATTAAAATTTTTCTACAAATGATGTCATTTGTAGACATTTATCATTTCTACAAATGATGTCATCTACAAACGAGAGCCACTTTGTTTTGATCATATATGGTCAGGAGTTAGAGGAGAAGGAGGATCAGAGGTTCTGTGAGGGTAATCTTCAACTGAGTCAGCTCGTGAACAGCATTGGATTTATTTAATCCTTTGTTTCCTGAGCCCTTCAGTCAGCTCAGAGTAACAATGTTGATGAGTAATCTGTTGATGTTGAGTGATCTCAGAAATTCAGACTCACACTGTTGACTCTTATTCTCTGCCATCTAATACTTCAATTTGTGTTTGATAGAGCCTTTAGATAGCATCTCTTGGCATCTGTTTCTGGAGGAAATGCTTGTGGCTCTTCTATGGAAGAGGCAGAGCTCTGAGAATTACAGAGAATTACAGCTAGGGCTAAAGTACTGTTGATTATAAGTAAACCTTGATGAAGCAAAGGTTTTTCCAGGGAGCTCTGAACATTTCAGAACTTGTGGGACTTACTGATGCTAACCAGGCACTCTTTTCTTAGTTTTGCTTTTTTTAAAAAAAATAATTCTCAAGAGCATATTTTGCTCTTCCCATTCTTGTGCCTTGTTTCTGACTTCTCAGATTTCCAGGAGTTCCAATTCTTGCCTTGTTCCTTCCAGTCAAGAAGCTCTCCCTAATACTTCCCTATGCTGGTTGTGTGAAATGTAAGCCTTCTGGTCTGTAGGTCCACACCTGCTTTAGCCATATAAGAGTACTAATCTCTTAGGGATTTCTTCATTATTTCAACTGCCAAAGGACTCTAAACTAGACTGCTGTGGTCTCAGAGCTCTGCCCCTTCCATAGAAGAGTCACAGGCATTTCCACCAGAAACAGATGCCAAGAGCTGCTATCTAAAGGCTCTATCAAACACATAGGTCTACCGGTTAGAATTCTAGTCAAGCTTAATTTTTTTTTCCTAGATTTATAGTATCTCCAGATAGGAAGACACTTCCTTAGGCAAAATCCCCTATCTAGGACCACCAGTGGTTGGTAAACAAGAAGGACACAATTCCTACTCCAGCCACTATTAGTTAATTTTTATGATGCGTCATAAAAAAGACAGTCCTGAATTCCCTGGCGGTCCAGTGGTTAGGATTCCACACTTTCATTGCTGAGAGCCCAGGTTCAATCCCTGGTCAAGGAACTAACATCCCACAAGCCACACTGCACAGCCAAAAAGGAAAAGAAATTGAGAAAAGATAGTCTTAAAGAAACCCAACTTCAAGATACATTATTTTCCTTATCAACCAACCATCTATAACAAGTAAACCTTTCTGAGCCCTCAATTTATTGAGCCCTTTTTTATTTTTAAAAATTTTAAATTGTATTGCATGATACCCAAAGTCCCTTCAACCTCTAACCTCTTGTCATTTAGTATTGTTATTTTTTTGTTATTTCAGTAATTGGGGGGGGGGGGAGCTATCTGGAAATCCTTAATGTTTCTGATATGTTTAATTTCTTTTGTCTCTAGTTGATTAAAGTAGCATTTGATGAAGAAGTGAGTCCAGAAGTAGTAGAGATCTTTAAGAAACAGCTGATGAAGTTTCGTTATCCTCAGTCCATTTTTACCACCTTTGCTTTTGCTGCTGGACAAACTACCCCGCAAATCATTTTACCCAAGCAGAAGGAAAAGAACACTTCCTTTCGGTGAGGAGACAGGTTTCTTCATTTCATCTCTCCCAAAGTTGACTGTCAGGGAGAGTGACCCATCTTCTGAGTCAGTGTGTGTCTGCCATTCTGTCACACCCGCTGAACCAAGCTCAGGAGTTATGGAAACCAGCTCTGACATACGGGATAATCATGTTCGTTGCTTATGATGCAGTTTTAGAATGTGAAGTTCTCTTTTCCCTTTTTCCTCTGTTGCTCGCTTTCTAACTACCTTTGAGTAATCCCTTCAGTTTCCATCAATATCCAGGTCAAGTAAAGAGTTTTGTTCTGATTGAGAGATGAGAATGTGTTTTTTTTTTCTTTCTGTAGCTTTTTTTTAATTTATTTTAACTGGAGGCTAATTACTTTACAATATTTTAGTGGTTTTGCTATACATTGACATGAATCAGCCATGGGTGTGCACATGTTCACCACCCTGAACCCCCCTCCCACCTCCCTCCCCATCCCATCCCTCTGGGTCATCCCAGTGCACCAGCCCTGAGCACCCTGTCTCATGCATCCAACCTAGACTGGCGATCTGTTGCACATATGATAGTATACATGTTTCAATGCTGTTCTCTCAGATCATCCCACCCTCACCTTCTCCCATAGAGTCCAAAAGTCTGTTCTATACATCTCTGTCTCTTTTTCTGTCTTGCATATAGGGTTATCGTTACCATCTTTCTAAATTCCATATATATGCATTAGTATACTGTATTGGTGTTTATCTTTCTGGCTTCACTCTGTATAATGGGCTCCAGTTTCATCCATCTCATACAGCTTTCTTATCCATTCATCTGCTGATGGACTTTTTATTTAATGTCAAATTTTTACAAAGGTTACAACATAGTACAAAGGAGTCCTGTATACCCTTTACCTAGATTTACCAATTGCTTATGTTTTATTCCATTCTCTTTATCATTTCATCTCTCATATATATTTTTTTAAACATTTGAGTTATATACATAATGCTCCTTTATTCTTTAATATGTCAATATATATTTCTAAAAACAAAGACATTATTTCATATAACCACAGTACAGTAATCCAACCAGGAAATTTAATTGATATAAAACTTTCACCTGACCCAGACTTCATATTTAAATTTTGCTTATGATCCTTTGCAGCTACTTTCTTTTTTTTTTGTCTGGTAGAGGATCCAACCCAGGATCAGTCATTGCATTTACTTTTGTCACATTTCTTTAGTAGGAACACTTATTTTCTGATGAAAATGTTTAGAAATTTATGTTGAAACATTTACATTTGAATGATTACAAAATAACAATTGCTTTAAAAGGTTCTTCAATTAGTGGTAAAATATAAGGGTTAATATTGCAGTCCATTCACCATTAATCACCTGGAATTTGGGCATCTGCTAGTACAAATTACATATTAGGTTTACTCTGCGGACTTTGGAGAAAAGGCCTTCCTTTTGTCTGAAAGTGGGGCCGGGTGGAGATTATAGGCCATTTGAGGTTGCAGGCAGAATGTCATTTCTAAGCTGCATGGCTAGCCACTCGTACTATTGTTACCTGGTAAGCAAAGGAGACCACGCATATGCAGGTGTGAGATGCTAAGGAAGCATGAACGGCATTTTAAACATTTAGATGGTGAGCCAGGCATTGCATCTTAGCACTGTGGGGTCACAGAGGAGCCTATGATATTCATTATTTTAGCTCTCTATGGAAGAAACAAAGTTTTGTATGGTGTTTTATGTTTAGAAACTGTTGGGGTGAGGGTGGTTATATATCTGTAAAATCAAGCTTATTCTATCAAGATACAACAGAGACAAATCAATTTTAAACCTTAAAATCTCTTGGTATTATCTTGCACATAGAAAACAAAAGATACAGCTCTAGCTGGGAAAACATTCAAGTTTAAGTTTAAGTTACATTTGAAGTGATTCACAATAGGCTTAATTTAGGAAATATCTATATTCTGTGAATTTTAACAATTATGTAAAACAGCATTTTAATTTGAGGTCCATAACCCTCATATTTACATTTAAGATCACTAAAGATGAGGTCTGATAAAACTATTTGACTGCAAAAGAATCCTTATCACTTTTCATTGAACAGCAAGAAAACACAGGAAAAGTTCTGTTGTTGTATGTGGACAAACATAATAAAAAACAATCTTACTTGAAACCTTCACCTCAATATGATTATTCAGGAAATGGGACCTTTGTTTAATTCTTTGGATTATAAATATCTACACCCAGAATTTCTATTAGCAATAAAAAGTAAACTACTTAAATAAATAAAGTACTTTTAGATCCAAATATCTTCAATCCTAGTTTCTCTGTAATTAAAGCTCAAAAGGATACTCAAATTTCTGATTCTTATCTTTTCTCCTCTCAGAAAAGGGAATTATGTTAATTACTCTTTTCCATATCTCAGAAGGTTTCTAGTGTCAGAAGGCAGGACACTATACACACATTTAAAGCATTTAAGAAATAAGTGGAGGTGCTGCCAGCTACATTTGTGATGATCTTAAAGAAAGCCTATGAGTTAGTAGAGATTCTGAATCAGTAGAGGAGGAGGCAGGCAGGACTTCCGCAAGCATGGTCTCTGGGAACTGGTGGAGGCAGTGGCATGGATAAGCAGAGTAGGTTGGGCGCATGCTTGACAAAAAGCCAAACTGAGGAGTTTAGATTGGGGATGATAAATAGTCTGTGTCCCACTCTAGGTTCTTGCACTTTTTGCCTAACACAGTGTCCTGATGATAACAATGTTTTATAGTAAGTTAGCCTTCTGCCATATAAAAAGTGACCTGAAGAAGGAGAGGCTTAATGAAGGTCTGGACAGTACTACTGGGTGTGGGGGTAGAGAAAAAACAAGTTGAGCAACATGAGTATCAAAAAATATAAGTGACATTTTCATATTAAATTAACATTCTCTTTGGTTTTATAACTTGTAGCACTTTCTCAAAAACAATTGTGAAAGGTGCTAAAAGGGCAGGCAAAATGACAATTGGGCGGCAGTATTTATTGAAGAGGAGGACAGGGACAATTGTGGAAGAGAGAGTGAACCGTCCTGGATGGAATGAAGAAGATGACATATCTGGTATGTGAGAACTCATTTTTCCTTCATGAATGAACTTTGTTCTTTCTTCTTATATGAGTAAGAACAAGAGATAAAGACATAGTTGCACTTAAACCTGACTCTCAAAAACCTAGACCTCAAAAGATGGGAGGTACTTACCAGCTTCTCAGAACTGGAAAAAATTTTTTTTGTTTTCCAGTACTCCATTGTGCAGATAAGATTCTGTTAAGTTGTATTCCTCCTCTGGACTTCCCAGGTAGTGCTAACGGTAAAGAACCTACCTGCCAATGCAGGAGACATAAAAGATGAGGGTTCATTCCCTGAGTTGGGAAAATCCCCTGGAGAAGGGCCTGGCAACCCACTCCAGTATTCTTGCCTGGAGAATCCCCATGGACAGGGGCCTGGCGGGCTACAGTCCATGGGGTCGCAAAGAGTCAGACACGACTGAAGCAACATAGCACACACACACTCCTCCTCTACTAAATCCATAAAGCTAATTGGCCACTGTTATGTGGGTCTCATTAAAGGGAGGAAGAAAGAAATCCCACTGCACAGGAAATTTAGGTATAAAGTAGTCCCCTGTACTTTATTGTTATGGAATAAGAATAAGAAAATAAGGACATAAATTATTCAAAGTTGTATATTTGGGGTTTTGGTGAGAACATTGTGGGTACTCCTAATCTATATGGGGAATCTAAGATGAAGGCGTTCTTAGATGTTAAGAAAAAATGCTCGCTAAATATTTAAAAGAGCAGAACCTGGGAAGCTGAGATAACTCAGTCAGAAAACCAGTAGCAAAATTTTTCTGTTCCTTAACCCAATGTTAAGTACGCTTATGGAATTAACACTAGAGAGAATCTGATCTGAGAGAGAGGATGCTGTTGCATCCTTTTCCTTCTCAGACTCTGCGACTAGATCACCAGGGATTATACAACTACTACTTTTACTGCCACTAATAACAACAGAAGAACATTTTAAAGAAAGAAATGTCATCTTTAGAGAGATCATTGGCCAAAGGTCCCATTTTGGTATGTGTATCTACAGGCTTGCCTCCGGGGGCAGTGAGAAGACCATTTATTGGAACCCGGGCTTCTCACAGTCACATGGAAAGCCATACAAAAATTACTGCTACCCATCACTATTGACTCTTCTAATTTAAAGTTTTTATGATTTCACAGAACAAAAACTTGTTCTATGATAATTATTCCACCAAAAGACCAAATTGTGTAATACTCTTTGCTCTTCTGAAGATAAGAGGCCAAAACAAACAAAAGTGATACTTAATGATACATTTGCATTGTGAAGTTCACAAACTAAAGCACAAAGGCTTGTATTTATAGGAATAAGCTGGGGTTTTTTTTCCTTTTAATTGAAGAGAGCTATATCGTTCCCTTTGACATGAGAACTTTGAGTACATTTCCAAAAACTTTGAAAGGTTAATTTGAATTCTCTCATTGTAAAAATAAGTAGGAAAGTGAATTAGGACAGTTTTTAACATGGAATTTTTTTTTTTTTTAGTTAGAACATGCAGTACCAATTAGGAATGTTGTTGTTTTTAATCCTCCCTAAAATACTTGGTTATTGGGTAAACTCTTCCAACATCTAAAATTTTAAAGGCTTCTGTAACCTGTGATTGCAAAATTGAGGGAGTTTCCCATGTACACCACATCCTCTGACAAAATGTAACTTCCATCAAATATAACTTCTTCATATCTAAGAAAGATCCTTTCCCAGTAGTGAACTTCTCCTTAATTAAAAATTTCTAATGAAAGTTTATGCTCTTTAAAGTTAGCTGAAACCTGATGAGTTTGTGTAATGATTATGTTAGAGGTGAGTTTTACTAATAGGTTAGTCTCTCACAAAGTATGAGTGTTTACAGAGTCCTAAATAGAAATCACTCCAGGTGGACATTAAAAATCAAGCCTGACTAACAAAGAAAAATATGGGTAATATATTCAAAATTATATTGTTTTTAGAAATTTTAAGTTACTTTCCCTGATGTTTTGAGTTAGTTGAGCTCCTAATATTTTATTTCCTGACTATTACAGTTTATGTTTGAGTATAATAATGCCTCATATAAGTTCTGTGATTCAATTTTTGGCACACATAGCACCTCTAGCCCTCATATAAACCTCTCTTGGTTAAAGATGCTCTTTAGAAGGAAGTTTTTAATCCTTTACTTTGAGCTATCTCATTTCTTCAAAACCTGTCTCTGCCATCAAGTTTCAGATGATAGTGAACTCCCCACGAGTACCACTCTGAAGGCCTCGGAGAAATCTACAATGGAACAGCTAGTAGAAAAAGCTTGTTTCAGAGACTATCAGCGTTTAGGTTTGGGAACCATAAGTGGCAGCTCTTCTCGCTCTAAACCAGAGTACTTTCGAATCACTGCCTCTAACAGGATGTATTCACTCTGCCGGAGGTAAGTCTGTTAGTCTCTCCAAAAGAGACCTTCCTTTCTTCCATTTGAGTCTTGAATGGGCTATTTGCATCCATAGCCAAGAGAGAAAGAGAGATGCTGGAAGATAGGAGCCAGTGTCCAGGGGTATGTGTGTTTAAGGGACATTTTTTGTGCAGTATGTCCAAGTGTCTCACTGACATTCTCAGAAGAATAGCTGTATCACTGAATGTGCCTATGTTAGATCAGAAAGTAGACGGTAAAAGTTTTTGTCCACTTTATGAATTTCCCATATTTGTCTTTCTCTTCCCTTTTGCCCCTCTTCTAGCATGCCTGGGATAGCTTGAAGTAGGAATAGAATTTGCCCAGGCAGAGGAGAGATGAAAATATGCTGTAGGTCAAGGGACTGCAAACTTTTTCCTTAAAGGGCCAGATAGTACATATTTTCAACTTTACACAGCATATGTTCTCTTATTGCCGCTACCCAACTCTGCCACTGAAGCAGCCATAGCCAGTACATAAAGAAATGGGCAAGGCCGGTTTGGGCCCACAGGCCGTAATTTGTTAATCCAAGTGTAGGTCAAGTTTCCTTATGCTATCTAATTAGGATTTTTTCAAGAGATATTACTTAAAGAATGTAAATGAACACATGTTCTTTTTTCTATTATGTCTGCTGCTGTTTTATATGTATCTGTTAAGCCCTATTTCCTGCTTTGTATCTTTTAAAACTACATTTTTACCCTCCACAAGTTTGATCATTTTCAGGTAAGTTCTTTTCTTAGCATGTATAAACTTATGGTTTGATTATTACAATAACACTGTGAAAGTACTTTGTAGCTTTTAAGTCTTGTACATATTTTAGAAAGTTGTCTTAATGTTACTATTAGTTTCAGCCCTACTGTTCTTGAAGAATTGTAGATATCTCATTTTAAATGACAGTTTAAATGTACAAATACAGATGTGAAACTTGAGAAACAAATTGGGAATATAGTTTGACATTTGGGATAAATAAAAATTTCACATTAAGTGCTGAAAGGCTGTGACTTTGTTGAGTATGCAGTAATTTTCCTGATACTCTGTCCTTCTAACTAAATTTTCTTTGTAGTTCAGTGTAAGCAAAGGCATAAGGTGTGATGTCCTGCTATTTGAGAAGCTTGTTATCAAAATCTTATCTGACAGTGAGAAAACAGATGTTATTTATCATTTCACTCTGTCAGAAACAAAATAAAATCTTAATAGACCATTTATTCTAATGATTATTATAAGAAAATTGCAGTTAGTTATATTAACTAACATAAACCCTTAAGCTATTAGAAGGAAATGGAATAATAAAAAATAATCCAAAAGAAGTCAAGAAAGAGAGAAAAGGAATCATGCATCAGATGGGACAAATAGAAAGCAAATAATAAGATGGCAAATTTAAATTCAGATATATCAGTAATTATGTTACTTATAATATTGATAAATGTTCCAATTAAAAGAAAAAGATAATCAGAATTTTTTAAGCTTTATGCTGCTTTTAAGGGCCATATCTAATATACAAGATTACAAAAAGGTTGAAAGTAAACAGAAAGAATACATCATGCAGAACCACCTTTTTAAAATAAAGCTATTGTCAATATATAAATATTAAAATATGTTTTAAAGTAAAATTTTACTAGCAATAAAAAAGATGACTCATAATGACAAAAGGTTCATTTCATTCAGAATGACAAAAGGTTCATTTCATTCAGAATTCATTATGACCAAGTGTAGTTTATTACAAGAATACTAAACTTGCTTAACAATTGAAAATTAATCAGCACAGTTCACCACATTAAAAGAATTACAAACTATTGTAAGTTCATTGTATACAGAAAAGCATTTTATAAAGTATAATATATACTTATGAGTTTTTACAAAAAACCTTAAGCAGATTGGAAATACAGGGAGAGCTTCTTAATTTCCTAAGTGTCTAAAAAATATATCCTGCAGCAAAAATTACTTAATGGTAAAGTATTGAAAACTTGTACTCTGAGATCAGGACCAAAATGCCCAGTATCACCACTTCTAGTCAGTGTTGTACTAGAGGTCTTAGGAAGTACAAAAAGATTAGAAAACTAAATAATAAAAGAAAGATTGAAAGGAAAGAAATAAAACTGCTTTTCACAGATGATCTGATTATACAGATAGAAAAGCCGAGGGACTCAACTGATAAACTTGTTATATTAAGAAGCAAATTTGCAAGGTTATTATAAAAAATCAGTCATATATATACACCAAAAACAAATAATTAAAAGATGAAATTTTAAATGATGTTATTTTGATACTATTAGTACTTTTAAAGTAGCACTAAAAAACAATATTAAACACTTGGGACTAAATCTACTAGAAGATGTATAAAATCTCTACATGGTACAGTCAAAACAGTATTAAGGATCACAAATAAATAGATGTTTAATGTTCTTGGACTAGAATATTCAGTACTCTAAAGCTGTGATTTCTCCAGACATTGACCTATAGAGTCAGTACAATCCCAATCAAAATCCCAGCAAAATGTTTGTAGAAATTGAAAAGATGATTCTAAGAGTTACATTAAAATGCAAAAGGCCAGAAGTAGCAGGATCATCTTATAGAATAATATTACAGGATATCAAGACTTTATATAAAGCTACAGTAATTAAGGCAGTATGGAATGTTCACAGGAATAGACAAAGAGACCACTGGAGCAAAATAGGGAATATAGAAGAATCTCAACATATGAGAACACTTGGCTTAAGATAAAGATAACATTTAAAAACAGTAGATAAAAGATATTTTTTCAATATATGGTGCTGGATATCTATACAAGGAAAAAATTAATTTTGACCTCTACCTTACACTGCACAGGCAAAAATCAATTCCCACTGATCTGTAGAGCTACATGATCTACATGAAAAAGGTTAAAATTTTAAATAAAGCTTCTAGAAGACATTTCTTAAGACAGGAAAAACACTATCCATAAAGTATAAAAGATTGATAAATTAAGAAGTTTTATATATCAGAAGACATCATTAGGGGAATAAAAAGGCAATAACCAAAGGCAGAGGATGTCCTCTCTTGTGAAGACATCCTAGTGGGCAATAAATATCTAAAAAGATGCTTATGTCACTCTTGGCATAACTGATGCCATCAGGCCCTAACAGTTTCTCCTGTCTTTTTGCTGACCCTGCCCAACACTGTACTATCTAGTGAATCACTTCTCTGTCATCAAGAGCTTTGTAGTCAATAGATATTGTTTAATGCTTATTAGGACCAGGTAGTCTGTATGCTCTATTAGTTCCCAAACAATGATGAAAACCTTCCCTGAAGTATTCCCAGGGCCCTTGAGACTAGTGACCTATTATTCTTAACTTGGGAATGCACATCCTGTTTCCAAGCACCTACCAGCATACCCTAGGTTGACTATAAAATTGTCCTGTGGCCCCTCAATGGCTCAGAGTATAGTAGCGAATGTTTCCTGATCATTATCCACTGATAGATCCCACCCTGTGAGTAAGTTACCCTCTAATGAACTGATCCATTTTATTATTTTATTATATATATATATATATATATATGTATGGAGCTGCCTGCCTCATGCTTTACTCTCAAGATGCCTTCTCAATTTGGTAGGCACCTTTAGTTCCCTCCATCTTCCAACAGTGCTTATCTTACTAGTCTTCAGATAAATACAAATTAAAGTCCCATTGAGACAACTTCATACCTGCAAAAATGGCTAAAATTTAAAAGACCAACAGTACACAATGCTAGTAAAAAATGTTGAGCAAGTAGAACTCTTTATGGCTAGTGTAACTGTAAATTGGTTAAACAATTTTAGAAAGTTCCCTGGCAGCATCTACTACACTCCTAGACATGTACTGAACATGTACACAATCTATTATGTATTTCTTGGAAAGTCTACTCCATCTGGAAAAGCATGTATACTCCCAAAAAACAACTACAAAAATGTTCATGGCAACATGTTTCTTATGTAGTCAAAAACTAGAAAAACTACAAGAATGTTCATGGCAACTTGTTTCTTATATAGTCAAAAACTAGAAACTACTCAAAATCAACAATAAAAGGATTAGATAAATAATATAGTCACATAGTGGGATAATATACAGCAACAGTCCCCTCCCTTTTTGGCAACAGGGACCAGTTTCATGGACCTGCAGGGGGAGGTGGGTGTGGGGGTTTAGGATGGCCCAAGCATATTACATTTATTATGTGCTCTGTTTCTAATCTTATGCCACCTCTGATCTGAGAGGAGGTACTGATCTATGGCCCAGAGGTTGGGGACCCCAGCTCTACAACAACGAAAATGAACAGACTATGGTTGCATGCAATAGCATGGATGGGTCTCATAAACATACTGTTGAGAAAAAGAAGCCAGACACAAAAAAATAAATTCTATTTGTTCCTGTTTTGTAAAATTAAAAAACCAGGCAAAACTCATCCATGTTGTTAGCAGTCACGGATGTTTAGTGATAATCTTTGGAGGAGGAAAAGGGAGAAACACTGTTTGGGAGGTGACACAAGGGGTTTTTTTGGATGCTGGTAATGGTCTATTTCTTGACCTAGGTGCTAATGATAATGGTCTATTTCTTGACCTAGGTGCTAATGATATGAATTTCTTTTTGTGTTCATTCATGTATGTTTCAGGCCATTTGTATATGTGTTATTCTTTGATTAGAAGTTTCCACCTTCCAGAGTGAGTGAAGGTCGCTCAGTTGTGTCTGACTCTTTGCAACCCCATTGACTACAGTCCATGGAATTCTCCAGGCCAGAATACTGGAGTGGTTAGCTTTTCCCTTCTCCAGGGGATCTTCCCAACCCAGGGATCAAACCCAGGTCTCCCGCATTGCAGGCAGATTCTTTACCAGCTGAGCCACAAGAGAAACCCAAGAATACTGGGGTGGGTAGCCTATCCCTTCTCCAGCAGATCTTCCTGACCCAGGAATCGAACCAGGGTCTCCTGCATTGCAGGTGGATTCTTTTACCAACTGAGCTATGAGGGAAGCCCTAAACGTTTCCACAGCAGCCCAGTCTACCTCAAGGCTTCCTCTGGTACCCATGGCTGGTGGCTCTAAGTAGTGGTAGTAGAATAGGGTGGGTGGCAGGATAAATGGATATATCTTTCATGCTAAATGACACTGGTCCTGAGAGTAGCCTCTGCTGGCCTTCAGGCTCTATGCTTTTTACCCTAGCACCAGTGGTTATCCAGCCATCACTCAGGCCCATGCCTGGGACCAGGAAAGTCTTAGATCCTATGTGTAGCAGAGCATGGTCTGTGGTGCTAATGCCAAGGAAGGAAGGGACGGGGGAATGGGGTAGAGGAGTGTGTTGGTTCTTTCCCAGTTACTGGAACAGTACCAAAAGCTGTTAAGCATTACTCTCTTATCTAATACACAAAATCACTATAGTATCTAGAACCAGAAGGGGCAATAAACAGATACTAAAGTGGAGTTAGAAGGAGAAAGCCTTTGCTGTACATTTGAAACTAACACAAAATTGTAAATCAACTGTACTGCAATTTAAAAAAGAAAAGAAACATAGGACCCTAATAATGGAACTGCTTTTCAAGTCTTTATGAAAGATTATGTCTACAGCTATGACACTTTATCAGTTTGTGGTATTAGAAAAAGACAGCCTGTAAACCTGAAATACGAAAGTGCTAGGCCTTCAGAATGCTTCCAGGGAATCTCTGGGTAGAAGAGAGAAGTAAAATTGGCATTCACTAACCACTGAAGGTTATATGACCACATACTGGGTTTTCTCTCCCTGCTCTCAGCACTGACTTATAACAAGATAAGGGATTAAAAGTTCTGGAAGTGATTGATTGCACAGTATTGTGACAATGTCAGTGATTTGTGGACTGAAAATGGTTAACATGTTAAGTTTCATGTTAGATACAGTTTACCACAATTCTTAAAAAAAATCACACACACACAAAAGACATGGGATTAGAGGTTAGGAGGTTATTAACATGGAATCTCTTTAATGTTTCTAAATAAACTAAAGAACTGCTTTGAAGGCTGCCTGTCTTCTTGTACTTATCTATAAAAACAAGATAAATAAGTTTTTATCTATCTTGTCTGTTTTTAATTTTCCCAACATCATATCCTGTAACTTTATGAGCTAATCTTTTTTTTAAATTATCAACATGTAGTGTTAATAAAATATTTACACTCACTTGACATTTGAACATATTGTTTTCATACCAAAAGTCATTTGGTTTTGATTTTTAATCCTTTCACCATCTCTGGCATTCTAAATGTTAGTGTACTTTATCCTCTGTTGTCTTTTCAGTAATCCAGGGAGTTGACAGTTTGATTTGTCATTCTCATAAAGTTGACATTAATACATTAATCTTGCAATCTTTATTCAAGTTGTATATTAGGCAAGGGAAATCTTGTTTAATGGAGGCCTTTTTAATAATTCTGTATGACATTTTTAATTTTTACACTTAACGTTACTCAGCAAAAGTTTGCAGTATCACTGAAGAAGGCTTATTTTAAAAAAAAAAGATTAGTAGATAGAGTTAGTTGTTTTCACTGTCTAGGCCTTTTCTTCTCAACCTCTAAAGAACTGAATTGTTTCATGTTTGAAATATATGTCTTATCTCTCCACCAATGTTTCTGAGTCTTAGAAAATTACTGTGAACTTATGAAATTCATATTCTTGTATTCTTTCTCCCCCCATTTCTTTTTTCTTCTCCTCCCCCCACCCTGCCTTACCCACCCAAATCATTCTGTTTCTCCTTTCCATCTCCCTGAAGCTATCCTGGCCTTTTAGTTGTACCTCAAGCTGTACAGGACAATAGTTTACCAAGAGTAGCCCGCTGCTATCGACATAATCGCCTGCCTGTTGTATGTTGGAGAAACTCAAGAAGCAGTACCCTGCTCCTCCGATCTGGAGGATTCCATGGGAAGGGAGTGGTTGGCCTTTTCAAGTCTCAGAACTCCCCTCAGGCAGGTAAGCAACTCTCTACAGCACTATTCTGATCCTTCCACTTCTGGGTGTTCTAAAAATAAAGGAAGTAAACTCCAGGAATGCTAGTTGTACCCTTCCCATCAAGCCTCTCACACGTGGACTTTTCCAGTGTGCTGTGTACAGTCTGTACAGTTTAAGAACAGAGGTTGACAGTGTGGGGTTCTGCCTTAAGTTTGACATCTTGCTTAATATGTCTGTCTATATTTGAATTTTAATAGAAATTAACATAGTAAAGTCTTTGGTTCTAGGCTGTTTTCATTTCAGCAAACCAGAGTATCCACAAATGGAAACAGATAATAATAATTGTTTTCTTTTTGGGGGGGAAGCATTCAGATATATTTAATAGCTTCAGAAGTAAATAGGTATTCTGTCCTATGTGATATAAGACATCCTATCTCATTCCTACATGTCACATGCACACACACACACACACACACACACACACATAAAAGTCAGCAACCTACTGACCAAAATCCTGGCTTTGGAGCACTCAAACAGAAAGGTTTTTAGGAAGCTAGGGGCTGGTCAACGTAAGGAAAAGCATACCCTAAGTGCGGTGCCCTTTCTCTGAGGACACTTCTGAGCACTGCGTTTGAGATCTGCGGTCAGTCAGGAGCGATATTTTGCTAACCTTTCTCATGACCTCTAGCTTAAAACAGATGCTCAAAAAATTTAACCAAGGACCTCTCAGATACCAGATTCAATTTAGGAATGACTTCCCTCTTTGGAAATGAGCAAACTCAAGTTCAGTGGTTCAGTAGGTTGAACCATATGTTTTCTTTATTCTCATCCATTCCTTCCTGAAAGTTCAAAGTTGGCCAGCATGTCTTTGATCATTCAGCTGACTGAGGACATTATACACATGGTGCTATATTATTGGCTTCCGTTATGACTCAGACAGTGAAAAATCAGCCTGCAATGAAAGAGGCCGAGGTTTGATCCCTGGGTCGTGAAGATCCCCTGGAGAAGGGAATGGCAACCCACTCCAATATTCTTGCCTGGAGAATCCCATGGACAGAGGAGCCTGGTGGGCTATATTGTTATTGTTATTCCATTTGGCATGGAGTCTCAACATAGGTATATTGAAGGCAGTTGGCTTTTAACTTTTTCTGTCCTAAGGAATCTTCTCAAGCCACATAATGGAGGTGACAGAACATAGCATATGTAGATTACATAAAGTGAGTGAATAATCTCAGGAGCATTATTATGAGCATATCACTGAGCTTTTAGTTGGAAAACTTGAAATTGTCTTATTCCACTCATTTTTTATTTTTCAGTATAATATAAATTTATTGTTTTTCATAGTTTTTGAACTCACACATTTGCTCACATTTTATTATCTTTGAAATGGGAATGTGACTTACAGTTCATGTGATCAGAAAGAATTGTGTCTTGGCTTAAATGGCAGTTGTTTAATTCTCATTAAATAAAATAGTAGTGCATCTTATAATTAATGGCATTTTAGAATTTATAAAATATGATGGCACTTTAAAGTTGATAAAATATAAGATAGTAATGCTAATTATTTATTTCCTAGTCATGTTGTAAGAAAATTTGTTATTATCTGTTGTTCTAGTCAGTCCCCTCCCAATACCACTTTAGAGTACCTGGGCCATTTTCTGCGATTCTGTTTTATTCCACGCAAGCTAGGCTCAGACTCGCTCCAACCAGAATTACTCTCACTGTTTTTTCCATCTGTGCATACTTTTTGATCCTGTTTTAGAAGGACTAGGGAATTGAGCAGTAGCTGCTCCTATGTCCTCCTCTTCCTGCACTCTTCCCACAACAACCCACTACAAGTTCATGTTCCCTGTTAGGCCAATGTGACAGAACTGGAATACAGTTACTGGTATTGGGAAGTCTCACTTCTGCTCATTCTGGGATGCTGAGGGAACCCACTCCATCCTCTGCTCCCGAACAGAGCATGGGTCATCAAGGAAGTGTTGTCTTTTGTGAATCTTTATTTTGAGTTGGTTGGATAGTGAAAAACTATACCTGTACTTGGGAGGACAACTGTGTGCTGGCTTTTCAGGCCTACGCTCTTTCAGGGAAGATGATGAGGCAATCTGGAAGTAGATTTTGGTAAAACCATTATCATCGGAGGATTAGCCATTTAAGTTTGGAGTTTTAAGTGGGGCTGGTTTCTATATTTGGGTGTGGTTAACTGGAAGACCATATATAGAAGGAATAAGCATGTGTATATAGAGAGAGCCTGTTTTATTAATATAGAAATGGTTTTACTTAATATCTTTTCCTTTTATAGCTCCTACCTCCTCTTTAGAATCTTCCAGTAGCATAGAACAAGAGAAGTACTTGCAAGCATTACTGAGTGCAGTTTCTGTCCATCAGAAACTCAGTGGCAATAACCCTCTTACTGTCAGGCCAACACTTGCTCTGTCTCCAGGTAAGATTTGACATAATGCGTTTCTTTTTGACAAGTGTGAATGGTCACATTCATTCCTCGGTTAGCCTCTTGAGTTATTCGCATTGTTCCGTCAACACGACCCCTTAATGTTGTACCTTATGGTGCTGTAACTTTAGCTTTTATCAGGGTGCCACTCTAAATTTCTAGTAAATAGTAACCAAATTTAGAGATTCAGTTAGTTCCTTTTGAAAAGAGTAATAGGAGAGGTGGTAGGAAATACATAGTGATGTGAGGTTTTTTTTTTTTTTCCTGAAATCTGTTTTACACAAAGTTTAAAATATCAGTATTAGAGTTGAATATGTAAGTTAAACATGTTTATTGAATGTATATTTATTAAAATAATAATGTATAAGTTTGAAATTCCTGTGGCCTTTTATGATTTGCAGTACAGTTTGTTTTCACTAGATTTGGATGAAGCCATTAAGACTTGTACTAATATTCTGTTTCAGTTATCATGTGATGGAACCCCAAAGGGTTCATGTAGAGGTAACCTAATGTGTTAGACACAGGAGCATGTGACTTGAGAAGTTGGTCTCCTTGGCTTAATCAGCTATTTGAATTAGCTCAACATAAGCAGAAAGTGGCTTTTCTTGTAAAGTAACACCATGCATGCCTTGCTTCATTTATCATTCAGTTCTCTGATTGCACTTGCCAAACCTAACTCTATAATCTTGCAGATGTGTGTATCTCTGAGGAAATAGTAACAGTGCCTTGTTATCTCTATTAAAGCTTTGGGTACTTAAAAAGTATAATGTTTGGCAGCAATTAGACATGCTACACATGAAGATAACTTTTTGTCATTTGAGTAATGTTAACCCCAACGACATGGTTTTTGTTCTTCTTTTTGGCTGACTTTAGGGACTGAAAGGAGGACTTCAAGAATGTCCACTGTGCTTAAGCAGGTAGTGCCAGGACATTTGGATGTAAACCCATCCAATAGCTTTGCTCGAGGAGGTTAGTAAGACTGGTTTTATAACTGAGCCCTGATACAACCTTAAAAGCAGAAAATTTTTTTCTAGATAGTGATACTTTAAATCAACTAATGATGATTAAATTTATTTTTAATCACCCCTTTTGAAATGAATGATCAAATGTATTACTAGCATGGTGACAGATGAGTTTAGCCTCATGGAACAAGAGGTATAATAATTGCTGAAATCTTACATACTGATGAGTTTGGGAGCACTGGATGGGGAGGGGAGCGGAGCATGTCTAAATGGTGACTCAGCCCTGGCAGCATTCCACGATGCTTCAAGTATGCAGGGTAGAAAGGCTGAGCACAGAAGCATAAACAGCTAGGGAGATGTGAGCCCAGACTCAAAGGCTGTGCCTCCAATGCCTGTTATTTTTACTCTTGTTCTCTGAAGTGCTAGTTTGAGGAATAAGAGACAATAGTTTAGAATCAACATAAAGACTCTATTTTACAAAATTCACTTGTTTCCCTTTTGAAAACCAAGATTATTATGCACATCTCCTGACAATCATACTGATTCTTTAGATACTTTTTTTTCCTTCTTCATCAAAACTTTCTGTGATTGCATAGTTTCCTAAGAGCTTTCACCCTTCAGTTATCTTCCTAATCAAGCCTTAACATCATTGTAGTAGTTTGTTCAGGCTACTGTAACAAAATGCCACACACTGGGTGGCTTCAACAACTATTGTCTGGAAGCTAGACGTTCAGAGTCAGGATGTTATCAGGGTTGTCTTCTTCTGAGGGCCATGAGGAATAATCTGTTCTGTGCCTTTCCCCTAGCTTCTGATGGTTTGCTGGCAATTTTTGGCATCCCTTAGCTTGTAGAAGCATCAGCCATATCTCTGCCTTCATCTTTACATGACATCCCTGTGCGCCTGTCTCCAAATTTCCCCTTTTATAAGGACACCAATCACACTGAATTAGGGGCCCACCCCACCGAAGTGTGACCTCATCTTAAGTAATTACGTCTGCAGTGACCCTATTTCTAAATGAGGTCACATTTTCTGAGGTGCTAGGGGTTAGGATGACAACAGAAGAATTTTGATGGGGTGGGAGGCACACAGTTTGACCTATAACAATTATATGTAGTTTTTTCCTGAACTCTTAAAATACTTGTTGTTTTAAAGTTTAAGATACTATCTTCAGTATTCTCATCATTTCTTTCTTGGTGAGTTTGAAATAAAAGATAGTACAGTGTATTTCTCCTAAGGTTTCTGGTATTTCTGTTGCCAGGAACTGCTGTCAGGATTTGGTTCGAAGCTGCAGTTCTCTTATTTCTTTATTTGCCATCTGAAAGCTTATATTAGCAGGCTATTAGCACCTTTTCTCTTTAACTTTTAGTAGAATGCAACTTCTTGCGTCTTATCTAGTTGAAACCCTCCCATCCCCACCCTACTCTTGATTTTTGTCTTTGTAAACTTCATCAACAGCACATTATCTATTCCTCCACTTGGCCAGGTGACCTGTAATATAAATTTTAAGTATAAAACTGTCTCTGTTTCTGTGTTGGTACCTAATCAAGGATGTTCACCAATATGTTTCAACTACAGTATCTTTTCTTTTTTTATATTGGCCTCAGACTCATGGCTTTTTTTATGCAAGGGAATCCCCACTAGTGGTTACATTCTAATCATGGGTCCTTTCTTTGCTATTCTCAAATGTACCTGGAAAGCTGTATTTACATCTTAGGGTTAAACTCTTATTTGTTTGTGACTCTTTCTATGCATAATGGGGCCTTAATTATTATGATCCCCTTCCCAAATATTTTCTCCTAAAAATTACTGTAAACTTGATGTGTTTCCTTATGACAGATTTTTTGCTCCTAACCACGTCCATCTTTTAATTCTTCTTTCCCAAAGCCTCCACATCTCCCAAGGTCCCAGTGATTAACTGGAAGATGAAATATGGCCGCTTCCTGACACCTTAAACTTCTGTGTCCCTCAAGCTGCTTTCCTTTGCATTTTCTGATAGCATCATCCCTCCTCATATGGAGCAGCAAGAATGGTCTGGGACAAGCTTGGGAAATCTCAGATTTCCTGTTAACATGAACATGGCAGGCAGACTCACACTCAGATTGGCCAGGGCATGACTACATGTAGACACTTGCATGCCTTGCCATTAGTTCATTTCCTTGTTCCCATCCTCAAGTATAGAGTCTTCATTTTTCAGAGAGCTAGGTACCACCTCACCAGCAGTTCCTTATTTACCCTATGTGGAAAGAACCTCCTATCTTGAAATCTCCCTACCAACCTTCTCCTTTTTTCTATTCTATTTTCACTGTTTTTCCATTCCTTTTCATTGTCATAGAATCTTAGTTCCTGGTTTCCTTCTTATGCTCTCTCCACTATGCCTGATGAATGAGGGTTTAGACTGACCTCCACCTTCTCCTTCACCCTTTTGCAGTCAGGGTGGTCACTTAGCATTGAGCATGCATGTTGAAGAGTTCCCAAGATGGGAGAAGCAACCTTTTGATGCAAAAACCAGTTAAGAAAAAATGAAGATGATAGAAGAATGAAGAATAGATAACCTTGCTTTTCATTTAAAATGACAATAGGTTTTGTGCCCTATGAGCAAAATGCAGATATTTGCAACTTAGATAAATTATCTTGTGTAGAAAAATGCCATGAGAAAATCTGCCTCTTAAACATAAAAATGAAATCAGTTCAGTTCAGTTCAGTCGCTCAGTTGTGTCCGACTCTTTGCGACCCCATGAATCGCAGCACACCAGGCCTCCCTGTCCATCACCAACTCCCGGAGTTTACTCAAACTCATGCCTATCAAGTCGGTGATGCCATCCAGCCATCTCATCCTCTGTCATCCCCTTCTCCTCCTGCCCCCAATCCCTCCCAGCATCAGGGTCTTTTCCAATGAGTCAACTCTTCGCATGAGGTGGCCAAAGTATTGGAGTTTCAGCTTCAGCATCAGTCCTTCCAATGAACACCCAGGACTGATCTCCTTTAGGATGGACTGGTTGGATCTCCTTGCAGTCCAAGGGACTCTCAAGAGCCTCTTCTCCAACACCACAGTTCAAAAGCATCAATTTTTTGGCACTCAGCTTTCTTCACAGTCCAACTCTCACATCCATACATGACCACTGGAAAAACCATAGCCTTGACCAGATGGACCTTTGTTGGCAAAGTAATGTCTCTGCTTTTTAATATGCTATCTAGGTTGGTCATAACTTTCCTTCCAAGGAGTAAGTGTCTTTTAATTTCATGGCTGCAGTCACCATCCGCAGTGATTTGGGAGCCCAAAAATATAAAGTCTGACACTGTTTCCACTGTCTCCCCATCTATTTCCCATGAGGTGATGGGACCAGATGCCATGATCTCAGGACCACAGTAGTGTCTAAATCAATGAAACTAAGCCATGCCGTGTGGGGCCACCCAAGACGGTCGGGTCATGGTGGAGAGATCTGACAGATTGTGATCCACTGGAGAAGGGAATGGCAGAACACTTCAGTATTCTTGCCTTGAGAACCCCATGAACAGTATGAGAAGGCAAAATGATAGGATACTGAAAGAAGAACTCCCCAAGTCGGTAGGTGCCCAATATGCTACTGGAGATCAGTGGAGAAATAACTCCAGAAAGAATGAAGGGATGGAGCCAAAGCAAAAACAATACCCAGTTGTGGATGGGACTGGTGATAGAAGCAAGGTCCGATGCTGTAAAGAGCAATATTGCATAGGAACCTGGAATGTTAGGTCCATGAATCAAGGCAAATTGGAAGTGGTCAAACAGGAGATGGCAAGAGTGAATGTCGACATTCTAGGAATCAGTGAACTAAATGGACTGGAATGGGTGAATTTAACTCAGATGACCAATATATCTACTACTGTGGGCAGGAATCCCTCAGAAGAAATGGAGTAGCCCTCATGGTCAACAAGAGAGTCTGAAATGCAGTACTTGGATGCAATCTCAAAAACGACAGAATGATCTCTGTTTGTTTCCAAGGCAAACCATTCAATATCACGGTAATCCAAGCCTATGCCCCAACTAGTAATGCTGAAGAAGCTGAAGTTGAACAGTTCTATGAAGACCTACAAGACCTTTTAGAATTAACACCCAAAAAAGATGTCCTTTTCATTATAGGGGTCTGGAATGCAAAAGTAGGAAGTCAAGAAACACCTGGAGTAACAGGCAAATTTGGCCTTGGAGTACAGAATGAAGCAGGGCAAAGGCTAATAGAGTTTTGCCAAGAGGACGCACTGGTCATAGCAAACACCCTCTTCCAACAATGCAAGAGAAGACTCTACACGTGGACATCACCAGATGGTCAACACCGAAATCAGATTGATTATATTCTTTGCAACCAAAGATGGAGAAGCTCTATACAGTCAGCAAAAACAAGACCAGGAGCTGACTGTGGCTCAGATCATGAACTCCTTACTGCCAAATTCAGACTGAAACTGAAGAAAGTAGGGAAAACCACTAGACCATTCAGGTATGACCTAAATCAAATCCCTTATGACTATACAGTGGAAGTGAGAAATAAATTTAAGGGACTAGATCTGATAGGCAGAGAGCCTGATGAACTATGGACGAAGGTTCGTGACATTGTACAGGAGACAGGGATAAAGACCATCCCCATGGAAAAGAAAAATGAAATAGCTGGGTATATTTCAGAAGTAGCCACATGGAGGAAAATTTTTAAATTTTTCCTCCTTTACATTTCCACAGCCTTTAAGTTCCTCAGCAGTGTTATTTTATCCTTGAAATAACCTTCAGGACAGGTGTTTCAAGAGACTTTGAGAAATGACATGACCTAGCCAAGATCACTTAGCAAATAAGAGCAGAACTGGGACTAGGATTAGTTCAGTCCATTTCAGTGCAGCATTCCCTGAATATAACTTACACCTCATGCGTTTTGCTAGGCATAAGGTTACATTGGTAAATATAGTACGCTGTCCCCACATCCAACCCTAGCATCTCTTCTCCTTCTTTCCTTGCTTTGTTCGGAACAGTAGAGAGAATAATACCATTGCTCAGGAAACTCTCACGCTCTGAACAACACTGCATTCCCATGGGTGGGATGAACTAGACCACTTCTTCCCTGAAGCAACCTCTATCCAGACCCTCCTGGACAGATTCAGGGCCACATGGTTGCTTAGGTAACAAGACACTAAGAGTTTGGTTCAGTTACATTAAGGTTCAAACTGCGGTCCTACCACTTAATGTATGATAGTGAGCAACTTAGGAAACCTCTTCATTTTCAGTGTCCTTATCTGTAAAATGGAGATAGTAGTAACTTAGCTTTCAAGTGGTTATAATGAATGAATGAAATACATGTAAAGCACTTAACTTAGTAACTGGCTCATTATTAATAGGAGCTCAGTGAATGTCAGTTCCATTATTATTATTGAAGTTATTGTCATTATCGTTTCTTAATATTCTACTGAAATGGGAGGGAAGTCTATATTTGAATGTAAATTGCCTTAAGTCGGGTTGCTCCTCACTGGCAAAAGGCAAGCAGATAAAGGAAATGTGCCCAAAAAAAAAAAAAAAGGAAATGTGCCTTAGGCCTAGACCAATAACTTTCAGGTTTTTTTTATCATGGCTTATGGATGTAAAATGTTATTTCTTACTGTATGTATACATATACATTTGTATATGTATGCAAAATGTATATAGACTATAACGAAAGTTTCACAAAACAATATTCATCTATATACCACAAGCAGTGCACATACCTTTTTTCCATTCTAATCTGTTTCACTTCTTTAAAAATACAGTTTGACCTTCTAAAATCATTTCACAAACCACTAAGGAGGACTCTTCAGTTTGGAAACACACACCTCCAAGGTTGGTGTTAACATGCTCAGGACACGTATTTGACACCTGAGAATCACTTAGGAAAATAAGTAGACCTCACCACCAGTACCTAGTGTCATACCTTTGGGTAACATGATTGCCAGATGGAATTACAGTTGTTTAAGTCCTGTGTTGGCCCTATATCAGTACGGGCTGTTTTCTCATTGCTGATTTTCTGCTCGGTGATAAATACTTGGCAGTTTTTCGTTAATGAGGCTCTGTTTGAGAAAGTACTTAATTATTTTAAAGTGTAATATCCCTTTATTCTTTCAGGGCAAATAACTGAGTTCAGGATATAGTAGAGAACCACAACAGCTCACATGTATCAATTTTCAAAAAAAACACAGTCAACAAATGTTTGCAGTACCTACATTTCAGGCTCTTAGCATGGAGATAAGACTATTTGTGAGGAATTCCCTGACAGTCCAGTGGCTAGGGCTCTGTGCTTTCACTGCTGAGAGCCCAGGTTCAATCCCTGATTGGGGACCTAAGATCCCACAAGATGCATGGCACAGCCAGCAGCAACAAAGATGAAATGTGATTAGGTCTCTGCCCTTTGGAACACACAATCAAGTAGAATAAGATGTGCAAATAATCACAATGTGCTATGGGATCAGAGTTCAAATAGAGCTCTCTACAACTCTAGGGACAATCAGGAACGCTTTTCAGAGTTTACGTTGTTCCTGGATCTTAAGGAATAAGGAGTTTGTCAGGTAAAGAAATGGAAGAGGTCATTCTAGGCTGAGGGACTAGCATAAGAAAATGATATATTTAGAGAACAATCTCTCAAAATCAGGGAACGAACTACTCAGACGTCACTGTAAGGAAGCACTGACTGATCTGTATTTCAGTACGAAAGCTCAGAACCGTGACAGAGAGGAGACTAGTAGGCTCGCACGTGGGAGGCCTGTGCCTTTTCCAGGTCTTTATTCTGTCTTGTAGCAGCATTTTCTGTGTACCGTCAGCCAGCTCCTCTGCAGCCCTGAGCTTTCTGACTTCTTTTGGCTACTGAAACCCTTCATTTCCTGTTTCCACAGGAGTGAGGCAGAAATGAAAGATCATGTCCGAGGATTTTTCTTTTATCAAATTATGTCATATTTTATGCAGTTTTGAAATAGATAGCTTAACTATCCTGCCATTAATGTTTTCAATCTTTAGTAAGTACAGAATCCTTTTCCTTAAGTGACTTGAGCAGTTCTTTTGCTCAGAAAAGAATATAGCTGTGACTTACTTCTCACCATGTTTGTTATTACCAGGTAAAGTTTGCCACAGTCACGAAGCACTTTGTCAGAAAAAAAAAATTACTCAAATTACAAAAGTATTATCTTTGATACTACCTATCATTTTGGCGCAAGTAGGGATTTTAGGAGAAGTCATTTCGTCAGCCATCATAAGCTATATTTTTTGTGGCATTGGGTATTGTCACAGGATCATAAATTTTTGCTGTAGATAACTATCAGCTTACGGAAAATAAATGGAATTTCCAAGTGAAAAGAGAAAAAAGAAGATAGTGTGGCAATGCTTACTGCTCTACTGCAAAAACATGCCCTTTGTTATTCCAAATGGTTGGTAGAGCTTCACTCCTGATAATGATGACCTTGCTCAAAGAATAAACATGTTATATAGCAAATCCTATTTGCGAATCAGTCAGCCTCATTAAGTACCAGGACCAATGTATTCCTAACATTCACCCCCTCCCCAAATTCCTTAATTTTATTATAAAAATTTGTTTCTCACCAAATGACAACCTCTAAAAGCTTATTCCATTTGGTATAATTTTTTAGTGGCACTCTTTGCTGTGCTGTCCATTTCATTGTGCTTCTAATATTTATAAACAAGTGCTGAAATTTCATTTAACAGACACTCAGTTCATCTTTTTGTGTGATTGTTTATTTGTTAATCAAATCTTCCGCTTTTATTATATTTACATTTTCCCTATTGTTAATTTAATTTTTAAAATTAACCTGTTCTTCTCTTATGCAATTTGCTCTGATGTTTGCTGCTATGTACATTTCATTCCTCCTTCCTTCTTTAATATTACCTACCAGTGCATGGGTACAGAGATAAATGTTTTACTCAGTCCAATCCCAAATCTTCAGCTAAGGGAAGAGTCCATAATCAAGGTACTGTATTATTTGTCCTAATGTATCACTGTTTTTAACCATCTTCATATGAAGGCATATGTTACAAGTGAATTTTTTCACATTTGTTTGTCAAATCATTTTCTTTATTCTCATACACATTCTGAATTTCCTCTGTGACTTCATTTACCAAAAAATTAACACTTGCCATAGTATCTAAGAAAACTCATAGGTTATAATAGATTCATCCATGTTAAGCAGAAATTGCAAAACCTTTTCTTGAGAACTGGTCTTCTGACCCTATAGATGCTTATAAAAAGAGAAGCAGATGTGACATTATCATGGTGACTTCTGGTCACCTAGAAACATAGCTTGATTTAATATTTGTCAAAGATTAAAGCTTCTCAAAGAGCTAAAGAAGGCACTTTAGGGAAGCAGTAGCAGTGTTATGTACCCCTGTGACTACATCACCAGCCTGACACCACAGTCTATGGGCATTTCTAAGGACCTCTGTCAAATTTGAGATGTATTATATGCCTTTGTGTTTAAATATTTAATATTTGATGGTCTAACTTGCATATAAAATGCTTGATTTTTCTAATTAATATAATTAAGGTCAACTTATGAGATTCTTCCTAGTAGCTTAGCTTCGTCTTTCCCTTAGAAGACATCTGCTTCTGACTGTCCCTCTTAAATAAAGCCTCCTAAGAGTGAAATGTGCATTACCAAATTTATAACTTTTCACTGTTTTTCCTGGATACTGGGGGGGGGAAAGATAAAAATATAATCTTTACTGACTTAAAATTACATCATTTTGGCATAATGTGCAAATATTAATTCTAAATCCAGCCTCAAATTTTAGTGGGTTTAGTAAAGTTCCAATTTATTTCTTAATGTGGATTTCTTAATGAACTGACTAAAGCAGAAGAATGTTCCTTCTTTCTTGAACCCATGAGGAATTTACTCCCATGTTCTCTTTCCTAGGCTTCATTATTGCCTCCTGCCCACATTTTTTTCTTTCCTAGTGTCAGTGTACTCTATTTATGATTTCAGTGTGTATTTATAAATACTGAATGTACATCAGTATGCAAAAATAGAATTGACTTGGGTGATTTCCTAGGTTCCTGTGAGCCAAATGATTTTTGAAATGCTATGCTGAATAATGCTTATATGATGCAGATGACCAATATGATACGTGATTACTTAGATGAATTAATTTGCTATTACCTCTAAAACCATACCCGCAGAGCATGCATCTTTTTTCCTATCCAGTGGCATTGTCACATCAGATTATCTCACTCAACTGTTTTGACTTTTGTGAAGGTGTTTGGGCAAGTCTTCGCTCTAGCACTCGCCTGATCAGCTCTCCAACATCCTTCATTGATGTTGGCGCCCGGCTGGCAGGCAAGGATCACTCCACCTCCTTCAGTAACAGCACTTACCTGCAAAACCAGCTTTTGAAACGTCAAGCAGCCCTTTATATATTTGGTGAGAAGTCACAGCTAAGGGTAAGATTTCTTTTTCTCACTTAGAAACTTCATGGATATAGGAAGACAGCTTCTAAAACTTATTTCATAAACCAATTTTCCTAGAATTATTTTTTCTTTTTTTTTGCAGCTTGGATTCTTAACCTGGAGTTAATAATCAATCTCAAAAAAATTAGCTCATGAATATGTTTGCATATGTATGTCTACCTTGTACTCATGTAGAAGGAGATACGTATGCATACACACACATGCATATTTATTACCCATGAAAAAGTGCTTATTCATAATCATTTTCTTTTTTCTTTTATTGAAGTATAGTTGATTACAATGTTGTTAATTCCTATTTTACAGCAAAGCAATTTGATTACACATGATGTGTACATTCTTTTTTTAATATTCTTTTCCATTATGGTTTATTATAGGATACTTTTTTTAATTGGAGGATAATTGCTTGAGGCTTCCCTGGTGGCTCAGATGGTAAAGAATCCACCTGCAATGCAGGAGAGTCAGTTCGATCCCTAGGTTGGGAGGATCCCCTGGAGGGCATGGCAACCCACTCCAGTATTCTTGCCCGGAAGAAGCCCCGTGGACAGAGGAGCCTGGCGGGCTACAGTCCGTAGGGTCACAGAGAGTCGGACATGACTGAGCCACTAAGCTCAGTGCACACATGTATACAGTCTGTTTTTAATATTCTTTTCCATTGTGGTTTATCATAGGATATTTTTAATTGGAGGATAATTGCTTTACAATGTTGAGTTAGTTTCTGCTGCACAACACCATGAATCAGATACAAGTATGTATGTATTCTTTCCCTCTTGAGCCTCCCTCCACCACTCTAGGTCATCACAGAGCACCATGCTGATTTCCCCATTATATACAGCTTCCCACTAGCTCTCTGTTTTTTACATGGTAGTGTATATATGTCAATCCTACTGTCTCAATTCACCCTGCCTTCTCCTTCCCCCACTGTGTCCAGAAGTCCATTCTCTGTGTCTCTATTCCTGTCCTGCAAATATGTTCATCAGAAACATTTTCTAGATTGATATATATGCATTAATATACAATATTTTTCTCTTTCTGACTTACTTTGCTCTGTCTGACAGATTCTAGGTTCATCCACATCACTACAAAATGACCCAATTTTGTTCCTTTTAGTGGCTGAGTAGTATTCCATTGTTAATGGGTAAAGAAGTTGTGGTACATAATCATAAAATCAGCATAAACATCAAGACTATTAGGGAGTATATATATATTTTTTTTTTTAGAATAACAAAAAATATTTTACTAAAACATAAGATTTACAGAAGTTTCCAGACAAGCCATACAAAATGGTCACAAGCTTTTTCTTGAAGGGAGGATTCTACACTTGACAGCAAGGTCACAATGTTATTAGTGAGGGCTGTGATGTCTGTTTAATGTTCCCATTTTGGCTCAAACAATCAAGCTTGTCCATCTACAGCGTCTAAATAAAGTTAGACTTGGCTAGAGAGCATATTCTAAAGAACTGGTTAGCTGCTTTTAACCAATGCAATTAGATCACCATAAAAAGGGGGAAAGGAGCCCATAAAATTAAAATAAAACTACCTTCCCCCCCACCAAAAAAAAATAATAATAATAAAATAAAGAAAAACACCCACACCCCTGCAGCTAACCCTGACAACTACCTTCATTCACAGTGCTTTATACTTAAACCATGATGGGGGAAATGAATAAAAGCAGAGAGGCACCACTGCTTTTAAACGTTTCGCAACAATCCAGATGGTACTTCTAGCCTCTGCTCATGCTTTACAACAGTGAATCAGGACAAGACATAGATTTGCTAATGTGCATTTAATCACCAAAGGGTTGAAGATGTCTGGGTTTTTATTCTGTAATGTTTCTAAGACTGTGTCCATTAAATGCAAACAAAAAAGGAAGAAGTCTTGGCAGAACAGGAGAAGTGATGCACACTTGAGGATCGAAGCGATTTAAATATTATTCATGGCATATAGCCTAGTCCATGCTCTAGCTGTTTCTATGGCTTGGGCTTCGTTGGTCTTCCATTGCTCCGCTACATCATTTGCTAATGGATCATCTGGATTGGGAGCACTTAACAAAGCCTGGATCGATAGCAGAACTGTGCGGATCTGCAGTGCTGGGGACCACTTATCTTTCAAAATATCTAAACATATTCTTCCCAACTTGTCTACATTAGGATGATAAATTTTGGTCATGAAACGTACTTTAGGGGCTGCCATTGGGTATTCTTCTGGAAGGAATAGTTCAAGTTTAAAAGTCCCTCCCTCAAAGGGGGAATCCTGAGGGCCGGCAATGACCACATGAAAATAACGGGCGTTGCTCTCATCTGGTTCTGCTTTAATGCCAGGAACTGGTTCTGCCAGCAAACGCTGGGTTTCCTTGATAATCCTGCGGGGCAGCCCGGCCATCTTGTCAGATCCCGAGTTCGGCCTCTGGTCTCGTCTCCGGCTCCGCTCTCCTCACGCACGAGTCAAGACTATTAGGGAGTATATATTTAAAAGAAAGAAGGCTATTCAAGCTGTGGTTTTCCACTCTCTCAGTTCAGCTTCCAGAATCTGTGCCCATGGCAAAACAGATGTTTCTGTTCTTCATAAACCTCTTGATAAAGCTGTAGGAAGGAAGACGAGTAGAAAGAGGAGTATGGCACTGCATATGAAGCAAGGGAAGGCCAAGATTGTACTTCTTAGGTTACAGAGACACATGTCCTCTAAGACATGTCAACAAATGTAAAATATTAATTAGCTGATAATCAACTTTATTCTTACTTTTCAATTATTATGCTAAAGAGCTTCACTGTGCTCAAGTCCTCTAAATTGTAAAGACAGTCTCTATCTCCAAAAGCAACATTAATTCTTCTGGATTTAATGTTTTGCAATTCACACATTACAAAATAAATTTCATCATTACAGACAGGTATGTGGGAAATAAAAAGTATTTGTTAATTAAGAAATCCTCTCAAGTTTAGTCCAGGGATGCAGTGAGCACTGGACAATCTAGGCAGACCTTCATTTGCACTGAAGAATGGAGGCTGCAAGCAGGATCCCTCAGGCTTGGTCCAAAGGATGCCAGAGCCTGAGTCAGCTCCTCTGTGGCAATCTAGCTTTGCTGGCACTTCTCCAGCTGCCTGGACTGCTGTAGTGACTTAGTCTCCAGGCTTTAGGGTTGAATGAAACCACTGGGTAATGCTCAGTTTTTAAATATGCACGTGTGTCTTCTGATACAGCAGGTAATCTTATGTCCAGAAAATAATTGGGACACTTTTCAACAGTAGCCCAGGGAGGCCTGCACAGCCTCCTTGGCACCAGTGTCTTTCCCAGAACACAGACTTTTCACACTTAAGCACACCACTTATTTATGATCTGAGTCACTCCCCAAGGTTTGTCTCCTGAATGCTCATCTCTGCCATTCCCTTTCCACATCAGTCTTCAAATAAGCTGTGTGATCAGGCATATACAAGTAAAAAAGACTGGCCACTTAAGACCCTTCCTCCTTTCCTCCCTCCCTTCTTTCTTTCATCAGTACAATATTATATTTAAAAAGCATAATTCCATAATCCCAAACATAATTTCTGGCACATTAGTTATTAGGATTTTTGTGTATTCCATTCACATTTTGTTTTTTATTGAACTCCATCTATAGATTGCAGGTGCATGTCTGATGTGTGCCTCAGTCTAGCCAGCACAGTGCTTCCTAGTTACATCTCCACACCTTTTTCTCCCAGCAAAAGGAAACACAGGAGACCAATAAGTGAGAGTGACTTATTCTAAATAATCTGGAATTGGCTTTATTTACCATTTTTAATTCATATACTTTAATATCTTGGTGACAGATTCCTTATAACCTAACAGTGTGTGTCTCAACACTGTGGTAATAACTCCTGCTTTATAAGGTAAGTATGAAAGTGTTATTCTGTCAGTCGCGTCCACCTCTTTGTGACCCCGTGGACTGTAGCCCGCCAGGCTCCTCTCTCTGTGGAATTCTTCGAGTAAGAATACTGGAGTGGGCTGCCATTCCCTTCTCCAAGGGTCAGACCTGGGTCTCCTGCGTTGCAGGCAGATTATTTAACGTCTGAGCCACCAGGGAAGCCTCTTAAGGTGAGTATACCTAGCTCAAGTGTAGATGGGAAGTAGAAAAGAAGCCAGTTGTCCTGAAAAATAAACTATTTTTTATGTATTAGAAGTTGTTTTTTTTTTAATTTATATAACACAACACTGTAAATCAATTTAGTAGAGTATACTTCAATAAAAAGTTTAAAAAATAGAGTAGATAACAAAAAAAGACCTGCTGTATAGGACAGGGAACTATATTCAGGAATATAAATGTTCAAATATCTGGCTAAATATATCTGGATTATAATAAATGTTTTAAGTTGTATATAACTTTTAAAATAAAGCAAAAGTTTAAAAAAACTTGAAAATGTGACTGAAATTTTACACATAGATGATAAAGAAACCAAAATATCCAACAATTTGGAAAATTATCCAATGATTGAAATAATTATGAAGTGTATTGTATTATACAACATGGAAACATGTTATGGCTTGAGATAAAGAACCTAGCAGTATGAGAACATGAGTTCCTTTCTGTTTTTCTTTATCATCTGTATGTAAAATTACAGTAGCATACAGCTTTTTTATTTTTTATCGAGATATAATACAATCCACTAGAGGATTTTTTCCTACATTTTAGAGTATTTCTTTAGGGTAGCTCCCTAAAGGTGGAATTACTAAGACAAAGAAACTTTTTTTCTTAATATATGTTGGAAATGCTCTTTAAAGGAAAAAAATACTTGGGAGTTTTTGCTTTTTATTTGAAAACTTTTATAGGCCTTGAAAGAATACTCTAACCAGTATAAAACATGAAATGGACCCTATATATAATCTTTGGCAGCAATTTTGCTTAGTTGTGGTAAAATACAAATAACATAAAATTTACTGTCTTAACATACACTTTAGTAGTGCTAATCACATTCACATTATTGTATAGTCAGTCTTCAGAAAACAGATGATCCAGTTTCGAGTAATTTGGGCAGGATATGAAGAAAGTGAAAAAAACATGAGAAAATTCATTCATTCATTGCCATAAGAAGCTGGAGAACTTTTAAATCTTCAGAAGTAGGCAACTAGATTATCAGAATAAACTATTTCAGTGAGCCATCAATTTAGCGTTCTTTAGTTAATATTGAAAACTCACCTGGAAAAACTCCATGTGGATTAAAAGTACAAAAATTATGTATGAATTTTTGAGTAAAAGTACTCAAATAAATATAGATTGAAATAAATGTCATATTGAGTGGAAAAAATTGTCCAAAAGTTAGAAATCAACAAAGCCTGTCATGTTTTACTGTATATCATTTTTTTATTATTGGCTTTAAAAGAATAGCTACAATATTAGTAGTCTTAGGACAGTGAGACAGTGATTTCTATTTCCTTCTCAATGTTTACTGTTTTTTTTTTTCATTTTCACAGTGGCTATGTTTTACTTGCATAATAAGAAACAAATGTGTATGTCTATAAACTTCAAGTTATAGAGCTTTAGAATCTCAATAGCATATTACCTTTTAATTGTTAACGCACATCTTAGGGAGATTTAGTTTACAGTGTGGGATTAGTCATGCATCATTGGTTCCTCTTTAGTCTTCCCAGTTCATGGCCTTATAAGAAAGTGAAAGTGAAGTCTCTCAGTCGTGTTTGACTCTGCAACCCCATGGACTATAGCTTGTCACGCTCCCCTGTCCATAGGATTTTCCAGGCAAGAGTACTGGAGTGGGTTGCCATTTCCTTCTCCAAAGAATCTTCCCGACCCAGGGATCGAACCTGGGTCTCCCACGTTGTAGGCAGACGCTTTACCGTCTGAGCCAGCAGGGAAGTCGTCATGGCCTTATAAGTAGCTTCTATTTGGTGCTATAAGCTCCATCAGATAGATTCCAGCCGACAAGTAGCCTTTTCAAGTTCTCAAAGTGAGAAATCAAGTCAAACCACTAGACCTTACTGAATATCTCTTTCCAGCAATACTGACGCATTAGCTGCACAAGATTGACCTTCTTGACCCACTGCAGCGCTCCTTGGCCTCAACTGACTGTATATTATTAAGCATTGCCCTGTTGAGAACATTGCTCTTTTACCTGTTACACTTCATCTGCCTAATTCTCTGCATCTTCATCCACAGAACTTCAAGTTAGAATTTGCTTTAAATTGTGAGTTTGTGCCTGTTGAATATCATGACATCCGACAAGTGAAAGCCAGTTTCAAAAAGCTGATGAGGGCTTGTGTCCCAAGTGCCATCCCTACTGACTCAGAAGTGACCTTCCTAAGAGCCCTGGGAGACTCTGAGTGGTTCCCACAGGTAATATTTGGAGTAGCCTGTCTTCTAACTCAAGGGGAGAGAGTCCCAAGGGGATATACAGAACTGATATTTGAGGAAAAGAATATTGTATTCTCCACTACCTGACACTCTCCCCTTCTTGTGTGTCCTCTATAAAGGCCTCTCAGTTCCAGGGCACCACGTGATGTAGGAGGTGCAGGGGTGGAATTCTTCTTCCTTGGGTTTTTCTCTGTTACTGAAATTTGGTCTCCATAGGAGGCTAAGAAAGATTATTGTTTTTAGGCGGAAACTTTTTGATACGTAACAAATTTAATCAACATGTATTTATAAGGCTTCTGGTCTGTCATTAGCAGAGTGATAATCCAGGACAGAACTTGACTTCTATGTGGCTCCAAGGGCCTTTTCCTCTTACTTTCTCACTTTCTTTTTGTCTCTACCTGTTCCATCTCTCTGGATTTTGGATTCATCCCCCAAACCAGCCCACCAAAGGCACATTGGATGCCCTGAAGCCTTCTTAAAGTTTAGGAAAAACCACTTATCCTTCCTTCAGCTAAGTCAGTCTTGTGATGTTTTCAATTGAACTCCTATCAAGAAATTAAGGAAATAGGTATGCCAGCACATAACCCACATGTCTTCCAAACCACAGAAAGAACGGTATTTATGACATGCATGTTTCAGACACTGATGCAGACATTTGGCCAAGAGCCTCTCTGCAGTACAGCCGTGTCTGTTGGCCCTTCGTGCTTGTTCATTACTCCTTCTCCCCCCACAGGAGTGCACAGCCCCTCTCTCCCCTGTCTACATCAACCTCCAAGTCTCCGACCTCTTTTCCTTCCCCCTTCCTTGCTTGAGGAGGAAAATGGATTGTTTCCCACAGTACACGGGACTAAAAAGGGGGGGAAAAAACAAAGCCAGGAAATGATGTAAGCACCCAGGGCAGTGACTATTCTCAAGGTACTTAAACTCTAGGAAAACAGCCACATACATAATTAGCTATAAATCTGTATGAGGCTGTGTTAATTACTGTTAAGACAATTCAGTATACTTTGAAGTAGCCATAGAAGCTGAGCAATCAGTATTCCCCTTCTGTTCCTAAGCTATGAGCCCCAGCCCTAAAATATTCCCACCACTCTACCTATCCATCTGTTTCTGCTATTGTGCATTCTGCTCCTTACTTCATAGTGGATCCATATCAGAAGTTAGTGAGTAAAAACAATGGGAAACATTGCCCCACTTGGGATATTGGCAATTTAAAAGTTTACTTAGAGCAAATGCTAACTAAGCCCAAGAGAATTCAGGCCTGGTAATAATTGTGTTATAGGAACTTTTGGGTGAGGAGCTTCCCATTCCTGGAGGGGACACGTGCCTTGTTGCTGTTTTTTAAAATAGCCTAGCTCTTTAAAATATGTTGGTGGGGGTGTTTAAATTACAAGTTGGGTTCATTCTACAAATTATGTCGAGTGAGGCTTTAAAAAATTTTTTTAAATCAGAATGTTACACATTTAGTTTTGAGATCTATATGCTCTGCTCACAACCTAATTGTTCATTAGGGACTTTGAGTCAATTGGCTTGGCTCAAAAAGCTGAGCACAAATGCAAGTTTTCTTCTCATTTAATACACAGTACAAATACTTAAGTGTACAATTCACATTTGATAGAAGCAATATCTTTTATAATTTCTCTAGGAAGATACATTTTATATATATTTTGTAATATTTTTCTTTCTCCTAAGATTTTTGGTATGGATATTTTCTCTAGTATGAGAGGTTTCTAAAATTTAAAAAGTGTACAGTTCAGTTAAAATTAAAAAATGAAAAATACTTTTTAGTATATTTACAAATTTGTGCAGCCCTCTGAGATAAAACATACTATATCATTTAACAAGAAATTTTAAATCCAATAACTGTATTGCAAGGGCCACTTAAAAACCTGTCTTTGCCACTCCATAGAATTATAGCTCTTCGGTTTTGAGGGGAATCTTGTGAGCTCAATTTATTTCATTATGTATCACTTGAACACATTGTTTTAAATTTTGTCATTGTTTAATCTTGATTTTGACAAAGAGTTTTAATTAAGTGTTTAAAATTTATATGATTCTTTGTTGTTGGAATATTTTATTCCTAACTTGTTTGATTATCTAAGGTTGATAGCAGGTGTGTCTGTTCTTGGTGCTCAGAAAGCACTTGGTCTAAATGTGGCCTCTGTTCCTTTTTCTTAGCTTCATAGGATATTGCAGCTGGCTGTGGTTGTTTCAGAAGTACTTGAGAATGGTTCCTCAGTTTTGGTGTGTTTGGAAGAAGGCTGGGACATCACTGCACAAGTAAATTATTAAACCATATTTTCTGATAGTTTTATATTTGTATTTCAACTGAATTATTTTAAAATTCTGCAGGTGAATCTTTTGTATAATGACTAATGTGTTTATGGACAGAGAAGGTCCTCTGTTAAACAGCACCTAGTATCCATCAAAAGGCTCTGTGCCAGGAGTTCCCAGGCCCTCCATAGCCTGGGCACTCTGACTCAGGTCCTCAGGCTCCATGGAGCATCACCACAGATGTACCATGCAAGCATGACCAGCAGTGTAGGACACAGACCATCTTTCCTATGTTTTGTCAGTTCTTTCTCTGGTTCTGTTAGCCCCTTCTTTACTCATGCCAAAGTGTGAGTCTAATCTACAGGAAAATGTTAGTCTACATCTCCCAGAAGATGTAGGTTTGAACTGATCCTCTGACCTTGTTGATTAAACTAGGAGAAAGCCACAGTCAGCAAACTGGCCAGGCAAGGATTAAATTCTTAATTCTCTGTAGAAAAATGTAACCAAAATGAATTTGAGTCTTCCTTTTTAATGGAAAGCTTGTAGAATTAATACAGTTAGTTGTCCTGGACAGGTTAGTGAACAAATTTGCCATCCAGATAACTTTGCTTGTGGAGTAGCTGTCATCAGAATGAAGTGCTTTGTCTTAGCAACAGGAATTTTTCGGGCCTGAAAGTAATGAAGTATCCAACCTGCTTGTGCCCTAGGTGACCTCCCTGGTTCAGTTACTCAGTGATCCCTTTTATAGGACGCTTGAAGGCTTCCGGATGCTGGTCGAAAAGGAGTGGCTCTCTTTTGGTCATAAATTCAGTCAGCGGAGCAGCTTGACCCTCAGCTGTCAGGGCAGTGGTTTCACTCCAATCTTCCTACAGTTCTTAGACTGTGTACACCAGGTAAGTAGAGCAAGTTTAAATCGACTAGATACGAAAGCAAGAACAGAACTAGCATTTATTGAGTATTGCATTGCTGTGCCAGGTATCTTTATGTCACAACTCTGATGGACTCAGCCAGAGACTTGATGAAATCTCAGCAGTAGATTTCTGGAAATGGAAAAGCAAAAGAAGTAGTTGGTTTCTTCTTTTTTAGTTTTTGTTTATTTATGGCTGCACTGGGTCTTCATTGCTGCACAGGCTTTCTCTGGTTGCAGCGAGCAGGGACTATTCTCCAGTTGTGGTGAGCAGCCTTCTCATTGCAGTGGCTTCTCGTGTTGCGAGCATGTGCTCCAGAGTGGCAGGGCCTCAGTAGCTGCAGCACACAGGCTTCATTGCCCTGCAGCATGTGGAATTTTCCCAGACCAGGGATCAAACCCACGTCCCGCTCACTGGCAGGCGAATTCTTAATCACCGAACTGCCAGGGAAGTTCAAACGAGTTGGTTTCTGAAATTAAGACTGCTGAGCTGGTTGTTGAGCTTGACACCAAGTGAAGGGGTTATTCTTGTTTAGTCACTAAGTCATGTCCGACTCTTTTGCAACCCCATGGACTACAGCTTTCCAGGCTCCCCCGTCCATGGGATTTCCTAGGCAAGAATGCTGGAGTAGGATGCCAATTTCTTCTCCAGGGGATCTCCCAACCTGGGGATCAAACCCACATCTCCTGCAAGGCAGGAGGGTTCTTTACCACTGAGCCACCAGGGAAGCCCCAAGTGAAGGGGTCAGCACTCTCAATTACCACCTACCAAGAGGAACAAACTTGGGCTTATTGTCTAAGAAGATTTGATCTAGTGTAGAATAGCAAAATCCCAAGGTGATGGTGGGGCCTGAAATCGTACACGTGGTCTTCCCAGTTGGGGAAAACCCTACCCCATGCCTGAGAATTTAGGAGAGGTAGAGCCTAACCCTCGAGAAAGAATCAGGGCCCGACCAGGCAAGCCTAAGCCTCTGAGGTTGAAAACAATGGCTCAGTTCTACTGGGTGACATAATCAGGACTAATCAAAGGGCCAGACAGAAACAAAGGTATGTAATGCAGTCAAATCCAGTGGGAACAGGGAGATGTGAATGTTCTGGGCTCCCTCCTACCTTCGTCTCAGGCCTTGGTCAGGATTGGGCTTGAGAATTAAATGGCACTGAGTTTGCAAGTTGAAGGTGTTGGCACCAGTGGCTAAATTGGCCTGGGAAGAACAAGGTTCACGCTTTCAGTTGTGTTTCATCAACAGTGAATGGGTTCTGACATGTCAAACATATTTGTCAGGATGGTGAACCTCTTTAAAATTGAAATACCTTGGCCTCAAGTATCTATTGGAAGGAAAAGTTAAAGTGTTTTTAGGAACCAGTTTTGGAACTAGGTCATCTTATGTATGGTTGTGTTTTGTTTTGTATTCTATTAATCAATTTGCCAGCTTTATCAATTCACTTTATATTTTTAAAAATTTATTTAAAGTGTATAATTCAGTAGTTTTTAGTATATTCATAGAGCTGTACAATTACCACAAGCAATTTCAGATTATTTTATCACCCAATAAACAAAATCCATACACATTAGCAGTGACTTTTACACCACCCCCACCTGGATGCCATTCCCAGCATACACACACACTGGAGATTATGTTTTTGATTGCTCCACAGCTTTTTAAAGACCTATTGAATAATTTTAATTGATTTGAGCAGCATCTGGAGACGCTAGCCACAAGCTTGAGCTTATATTTTTAAACTCTTTGTAGCAAATGATAGATTTGCTTCCTGTTGGAATATTAGCTTTTTGATTCAGATTCCTTTCAACAAATAGATGAGGGAGAAGTGTGAAGCCCATTGTCTGTGAAACAGAAAACTTAACTAAGACCAAAGGAAATGTGCAGGCCTTTTCTCACTTCTGGATAGGTGACAGTATACAAGTTCTTCGTGAAACACTTCTTATCTCACACTTATTATGCTAACCAAGTGCACTAGGCTGTTTCCTGCCTCCCTGTCTATCTCCCACCCCACCCAACCGCCCCCCCGCAATCATTATTAATATTTCTTGACCGCTTACTATATGCCAGGCACTAGTCTCAGCACTACATTTTATTTCATGATTCTTTCTAGGTAATCTTTGAACTTTTTCCAGGCCTCTTCATTTGTATTCTAATGAACCATCTACAGACTTCCTTGATAGCATCATCTATTAATGTCTGTTGCCTTCTACTTAGACTGAGAATTCTTGGGTCTGTGTCATATTAGTCTTCATATCCCTAATATCTAATTGTAATTTCAGTCTCTGGAATGTAGTATACCCTCAGTAAATAAGTACAACAAATGAATACATGAAAATTTGAATGACCACCTGGTTCAGCCTTGTTCAGGCTCTTGTTACCCTTCATCAGGACCATCTAGAATATCCTAAGTACAATTGCTAATAAAATCTTCTGAATGCTCAGATATGATATTATCCTCTTTTACAAAAATCTTTAAAGCAAACAGAAACTTTCAGTGGCTCTGTGTCATAAAGAATTACTCTTACTCACATCCAACTTGAATGTAATACTGTCACAAATCACTTGAAAGGTTTTTAAGGCTCCTCACTGGATGCCTGTATTGTCTCAATAAGTACACTCAATCAGTTTTACCCCTGCATTGAAATAATAACACTGTTTATTCAGTTGAATGCTAGATGAAGCAACTGTCTTTTAATGTTTTTGGCATATAAAAATGTGTATCTTTAACAATTAAAGTCACAGTCTTCCTAATGTGGTATTCACACTTAAAGAACATGTAGGGATTAAAAAGCTCAATAGAAAAAAATCAATAAAACAAAGAGCTGGTTCTTTGAAAGGGTAAACAAAATCAACAAACTTCTGGCCAGGCTCACCAAAAAGAAAAGAGAGAAAACCCAGAAAAAACAAAATAAGAAATGAAAAAGGAGAAATCTCAGCTGAAACCACAGAAATACAAAGACCATAAGAGAATACTTTGAACAATTATATGCCAACAAATTTGACAAGCTAAAAAAAAAAAAATGAACAACTTCTAGAAATGTTGTTTTTAGTCACTAAGCCTCGTCCGACTCATTTTGCAACCCCATGGACTATAGCCCACCAGGCTCCCCTGTCCATGGGGTTTCCCAGGCAAGAATACTGAAGTGGGATGCCACTTCCTTCTCCAGGGGATCTTCCTGACCTAGGGATCAAACCTGTGTCTCCTGCATTGGCAGGTGGATTCTTTACCATAGACCCACCAGGGAAGCCCTCTAGAAGCATAAAACTCACCAAAATTGAATCAAGAAGAAATAGATAATTTGAACAGAGTGATCACTAGAAATGAAAGAACCTGTAATTAAAAAAAAAAAAAAACTCCCTACAAACAAAAGTCTAGGACCAGATGGCTTCACAGGTGAATTCTACCAAATATACAAAGAAGAACTTATACTGATTCTTCTCAAACTCTTCCAAAAGTTTGAAGAGGAGGGAACAGTCCCAAAGACATTATATGAAGCCACCATCAGTTACCCTGGCTTCACAGGTGAATTCTACCAAATATACAAAGAAGAACTTATACTGATTCTTCTCAAACTCTTCCAAAAGTTTGAAGAGGAGGGAACAGTCCCAAAGACATTATATGAAGCCACCATCAGTTACCCTGATACCAAAACCAGACAAAGATACCACTAAAAAAGAAAATTACACCTCAACATCACTCATTATCAGAGAAATGAAATCAAAACCTCAATGAGGTACCATTACATGCCAGTCAGAATGGCTGCTATCCAAAAGTCTACAAGCAATAAATGCTGGAGAGGGTGTGGAGAAAAGGGAACCCTCTTACATTGTTGATAGGAATGCAAACTAGTACAGCCACTATGGAGAACAGTGTGGAGATTCCTTAAAAAACTGGAAATAGACCTGCCATATGACCCAGCAATCCCACTCCTGGGCATACACACTGAGGAAACCAGAACTGAAAGAGACATGTGTTACCCCAATATTCATCACAGCACTGTTTATAATAGCCAGAACATGGAAGCAACCTAGATGCCCATCAGCAGACGAATGGATAAGGAAGCTGTGGTACATACACACCATGGAATATTACTCAGCCATTAAAAAGAATTCATTTGAATCTGTTCTAATGAGATGGATGAAACTGGAGCCCATTATACAGAGTGAAGTAAGCCAGAAAGCGAAAGACCAATACAGTATACTAACGCATATATATGAAATTTAAAAAGATGGTAATGATAACCCTATATGCAAAACAGAAAAAGAGACACAGATGTACAGAACAGACTTTTAGACTCTGTGGGAGAAGGCGAGGGTGGGATGTTCAGAGAGAACAGCATTGAAACAAGTATACTATCAAGGGTGAAACAGATCACCAGCCCAGGTTGGATGCATGAGACAAGTGCTCAGGGCTGATGCACTGGGAAGACCCAGAGGGATGGGATGGAGAGGGAGGCGTGAGGGGGGATCGGGATGGGGAACACATGTAAATCCATGGTTGATTCGTGTCAATGTATGGCAGAAACCACTACAATATTGTAAAGTAATTAGCCTCCAACTAATAAATGGAAAAAAAAAAAAGAAAATTACAGGCCGATATCTTTGGTGAATATAGATGCAAAAATTCTCAACAAATGTTAGCAAACTGGATCCAACAACACAGAGAAAACATGATGCACCTTGGTCAAGTAGGATTCATCCCAAGTTTACAAAAATGGTTCAACATATGCAAATCAGTGTGATGCACCACATTAAAAAAAGACAATCAAAAACCACATGATCATCTCAGTAGATGCAGAGAAACCATTTGGCAAAATTCAACATCCATTTGTGATAAAAACTTTTACTAAAGTGAGTTACAGGGGACATATCTCAACATAATAAAAGCTATTTATGACAAACCCATAGCCAATATAATACTCAACAGTGAAAAGCTAAAATCTGGAACAAGGATGCCCACTCACACTTTTATTCAACTTAGTAT